TTCATCTAGTTAAAGATAAAGATGATCCATTTCTTTATCTAGATGATTATTTAGATAATCTATTATCTAGATACCAGCAAACACTGTATATATATATATATATATATATATATATATATATATATATATAGTTTTATAATTTTGGAAAAAAAAGAAGATATAGAGATATAGAAAGGAAAACGGGAGATAAAAATCCAGATCAGAAGAAAATAAGTAAGATAGGCAAGAGAAATAAGAGAGAGGGGAGGGGGGAACAAAAAAGGATTGCTAAATTTTTTGTGTACATATTTGACTATCCTATAAACTAAATCTATTTTTGGTAATGTTGTTTAAGATATACATGTTAAATATTACGATACCATAAGTATAGATTCACTGGCCATAGTATTATGCGCTATAAGATCGCTTAATATCTGTTCTTTGACACGTTATCCTGTACAATCCTGAAAAGAAACTGCGGAGACCCCGGTCCCGACATTATGCCTTCATATTTCTCTATGCAGCGCGGATTCAAATTATAAAAAGAGAAATTAAAATCTACTGAGACGTATATCAGAAAATATAGTTAGGTATGTGAAGTGTATCTATAACGATTTTCTTTAATTATTTAAACCATAGCCTCTACATTGTTAGAGTGTCTACTCAAATCTTATAGATTCCCTGAAAACTTTCTGATTTTCCAAGATACTTTTGTTCAAAATTCAGATAAGGATAATATTTAAAGATTTTTTTATACAACTTTCTAAAATATACTGAAAAAAACTGAATAATAACTTTTGTAAGATTAACATTTTTCATATGCATAATATTTTCATTTCTTTCTCATTGAAAATTATAATAAAAAAATATATACTGCATGTCCTATATATCAAGACATTGAATATATAAACATAGATATATATAGGATGTTAAAAAAAGGGGTCACATATTTTGAGAATAAATAGTATTGCTCACAGAACAAGAAAAAAATCTAATTAATAAATTCTTATATTCTATAATTAATATTTTTCGAAAATAAATAATTAATAAATTCTCTAATTTTTCAAGTAGAAAAGAAATCCCTAACAATTACAGATTTGTTAATTTTTTCCAGGGAGTAGACACTCTTATGCAATTATTATTTTTATTTCACATATTTTGATAATTAAAGACTAAATTGAATTTCATTTCATTTATTATTTATTAATATCGAAAAATAAATTTATACTTATTATAGATGATTTGTAAGTATGTATACAGGAGGTAGATGTAAAATCTTACAGTTCCTATTACTGTATTACAGCAAAAATCTTTCCATCTTGATTCTAAACTGACTACGCAGCAGCACACAGTGGAGTCATAAGATATATCTTAAATTCATTACTTTTAACTGAGTATATATATATATATATATATATATATATATATATATATATATAAACGTTAAATAAGTATTATTCTCTTAAGTTTCCTCATGTTTCTTGTTCATCATCGAAATATAAAATTGAAAGAAGGAAGAAGAGAGAGCGTGTAACTGAGTATCCACGATTAATAATGATAATGATAGTGATGATACTATTTGTATACAGGGTGTCCCAAAAGTCCCGATCGAATATTTCATAAACTATGCACTTTAGAAAGAAATATTTCAGACAAAAGTTGTATGGCTTGAAGGGGGCCATCAGATAGTAAGATAAGAAAAAAATATGTAATTTGCAATTAACAATTACATATTTTTTTTTTAAAACAACTATGTGTTTTCTTTACACCAATTGATTCCTCTCATTATTTTGTACATAAAAGTATTAAGGTAAGATAATCGAAAAATATTTTATGCAAAATTAAGAAATGATTTCAAGCCTCATAATTCGGAAAGTACTTAATGAAAACTAACTTAATTATAGTGTTTTGGAAAGCTCTCGAGATAAGCTACACGAATATGTGATAAGAAATAGAGGGTTCCATTTAAGAAATTGACGGTGATCTTCACGTCACTTTCAAATGACTCTTATGTCAAATCATTGCCACTATCTGATGGCCCCCTTTAAGCCATACAACTTTTGTCTGAAACATTTCTTTCTAAAGTACATAGTTTGAAATATTCGACCGGTCCGGGACTTTTGGAACACTCTGTATGTATGTATATATATATATATATATATATATATATATATATATATATATATGCTACGCTACATATTTTTTTTTATTGCTTCCAGAATCTTAGTTTATGATAATTACGTGCGAATACAGTCCGAGATTAAGTACATACAACAGTGTGCTTTTTCGAGAGAATGGAAATTTTAGAAATATAATATTAATCTCCTCTCTCGCGCAGTCTCGTTTCGATCGCATCTACAGGTCTCTAATTTAAGGCTTCACGAGTGCATGCTCTCAACAACAATGATGAGAGGGGGCACATCTTTGTAGCATTTTTTTTTAATACAACATTTTTCTCTTTGTTCAGGCCCCGAAGTGTTCTCTGCGTCAATTATTTTTTATCCTTTTTATTGTCAATGGCTTAATTTTTTCGTCATTAAACAAATCTGCTCAAATATGTTGCAAGTATGAAATGTAGAATCTTTCGCTAAGAAGAGTTTCTAAATCTTTCCTCGCAAAATGAAACATTGCTATAAAAATTTATAATATCGAACGGAGTGGCAGAATGTCAACATAATTTATATTTAACATATTTCGATTTGTATCTAATTAAAATTCATTTAGTAATTAATTTTGTTAATTACGTTCCTTATGTTTTGTCATCTAAAATCATTTCAAATTTTCTATATTCAAATTTTTATGTATGAAAATATAGAAAATGCGACACATAAGAGGTATGCGCACACATACATTGAACAGTTACAATTTAACATTTGATTTTGATTTTTCTAATCACGCGATGTAAATCCCATTACAATTACTGACCTTGTATCAATGAATCGTAAAATTCTTTCTTTTTATTTTTTTACAATTTTTTAAAGACATATATCTGTTTTTTCTGTCGAAGAAATATTTTCAATTTTTCTATTTAAATACAAGATGTGGCTATAAAGTAATTAGATTGTTTTTTTTAGGTGAATGCCAACTATTTGTATAAAATTTCAAAAAAAAACACGACACAAATGTATGTAATTTTTAAGTAGTGGAAGATTTTGAGATGGTTGCAAAGACGTGGAAGACACAATCGAGACGTCTGAAAACAATTTCAATAATGGATCCTGTTGAGAAAAAGTATTATGAACAAGTTACTGAAAATTGATACGAATGTGAAAATATTAGCGGAAGAATTCAACGTCTTTAAAAACATGATTTGCAATACTTTTACATAAGTGTATCTCTTTCAATGTAAAAAAAAATATATTTGAAATAAAATAATTTTATCATTTTATTTCAAATATATTTTTATTGGTAAAATTAATTTATTTCAAATATAAAAAATATATTTGAAATAAATTAATTTTACCATTATTTGTTGTTTGGATTTTATACGATTTTGATCTGATTACTTCATAGCCAAACTTCATGTGCGTATGTGCGTATGTATATATACAATGTGTTTAATAAAAACTGATCAATTTTGATCTCATTTGCTAATCTTTTTTAATTAATACTTCAATAATTATTGCAAAAAAACAAAAAGACTTTTCTGTTCAGTTTATTACCCACTCGAACGTTATTCCAATTTTTATCAAACACCTACATATATGACTCATCGATAAAAGTGCATTAATTGTAATAATCTCAATCGTAATTAATAAAATCTGTCTAGGGAATTAGGGATAATTCCGTTTGACTTTCGTTAAAATATTTTTTGGAAATTAATGTGATTAAGTTTGAATAATATTTATTATTATTAAGTAAAATTGCATACGTTAAAGAAAATATAAATGTTTTTTCAATAATCCTGTTTCCTCATTGTAGCTAAATTAAATTGTCATATCAAAAGTAGAAAGCATTAATTTTTTTTCTTTTTGATCAAACTTGACATCAAAATAAATTTTTTTTTACACATCATCACTTGTTTTCGACAGTATATAGATTAATAAAATACTATGTCGAAAATTCTCTTTTCGACTTAAGAAAAATAAATTACAAATTTTGATCAACTGTCATAAATTTTATTAATTTATTAAAAATGCATGACATAAATTTATTAAATTTAATTAATAAATTTATTATATGAAATCAATAAGTGCATTAAAACTGATACAAATAAAACAAATAGTCTCTTTATTTTATTTATCCATTCTCTTTTTTTTTGTAAATTCTAGTGATGACATATACAAAAAAACTAATCTCGATATCTAATATAAAAAAAATGTATGTAAAATTTCTATCTTTTAACATCACAATTTAATATGATTACAATAAAGGAGAAGGCAAACAGTCTTAAGATTTAAAAAATTATTGTATTCCTAAATTTATTACTCGAAAATTATATATATATATATATATATATATATATATATATGCATGTATGTGTATGTATGTATGTATGTATGTATGTATGTATGTATGTATGTATGTATGTATGTATGTATGTATGTATACATGTATATGTATGTATGTGTGTATATATATATATATATATATATATATATATATATGACATACGTATGCATGTGTGTGTGTGTGCGTGCTCTAAAGTCACACAATCTTATAATGTTTGTAGTATGATACATACATACTATACATGATACATAATATACATGCTAGGTAAATGATATTTCGAGACTTGTTAATCCTGTTAAAATAAAAAATTCAAAGTTTATCATGCGCAATGTTTGGATTTAAAAAAAAAATTCTCTTTCTAATTCAGAGCAACATGACCCAGACAGCACACATATCCAAAAGACATCTAAAAGACGACTTAAAGACGTCTTAAAGTCCTTTAGACATTTTTAAGACATCTTTTGGCCTTTTTATGCTGTCTGGGGACTGAATGTCAAAAGCCATAACGATGTTGCAGGTATATACCATAAGAGAAAATACCGACGTTGCCGTCAGCATCTCTGTAAGACCACCAATCGAAAAAGATACAAATATAAAACAGGTCGACGACGACGACAACGACGAGCACTTCTGAGCGGCACGATTGAATTCGCGGCACGTATATATTTATATATACAACGAGTTTATGAGCATATAAAATTTTGTATAAAAATATTTTCTTGTATGTAGTGTTTTTTACGTGTACTTGTGTTTTTTATCTGTACCTGTCTGTACATGTGCATGTGTATTTGTATGTCTCTCTCCCTCTTTCTCTGTGTATACGTGTGTGTATATATATGTACATTTTGAATAATTAATACTGCGTAATTAATATCATCTCGTTCCATTATGCATGCTGTGTCACGGTATGATGGATCTGATGACGCTTTCGCGGAACATTCTCACAATCCCCAGTATAAATAATTTTTTGGGGCAAAAGTACTGGGAAAGTTTGCCAGGATATGGACGTTCATTCGTGGTGCCCACAGAACGTCATCGAAACACGGCTATGCTGTCTTAGAAAATTGTCGTTATCATACCTAGATGATAAACCCAAGATCTTCTTTCTTAGTGCGTCTCTTCTGAAAGTGAAGTCGCCACCAGATTCAGAGGAACATCAGAAACGTTTTCCTCATCGCCTTCATCCGTTTCTTCAGTATCCATAGAAAGATGTCGCTGTACACGCTCCTCAGCTTTCGCATGTTGCTACAATTATAGTAAAGTCATATTTAATAGATTCACAGTGAGAGATAAATCATGAAAGTGAAAATTTACAATTTTTATAAATGTGTTGGATAAATTTTATTACCCATTATAAACACTGTTTATTGCAGGAATGTAATGTAGAAATAACAAACAATATGTAATAATGTAAATTATAATTACTAATGTAAAATCTAAAGTATATCTCTTTTTTGTTAGTTTAATTTCTAATAATATTCCAACGAGGAATTCAAAATGTAAAACAGATTATTTGAAATTAGTAAATAAAAAATAGTTCATTTATTGTCTATTTGAAACAAAAAATCGAAATTTCTATAAATTTTATAAATGAAATCCTGAATTTTATAAATTAAATACATATAATTTACTTTATTTATTAATTAGCAATTTGATCACCAATATTCTATAAGAATTAATTCTATATTCTAGACATAATATAGCTACGATATAAAAATGATATTTAACATATATAGGATTAGGAAAAAGTCTGAATACCCCTTAATATTTTAAAAAATACGCATTTTTGAAAGAAATGTTTCATACAAAAGTTATAGGGTTTTATGTGGCGCACTACACAGCAACATTATTATGACCTCGAATAGCGTTGTCAAGGTTATGTGAAGATCAGCTTCAATTTTTTAAATAGAATCCTCTATTTTTCACTACATATTCTTGTAGCTTACCTCGAGAGCTTTCCAAAACACTATAATAAATTATTTTTCCATGAAGTACTTTTCGAGTTATGAGGCTTAAAATTATTTCTTAATTTTACATAAACCATAAAATATCTTGTAAAATATTCATTTTTCAATTATCTTATCGTAATACTTTTATGCACAAAATAATGAGAGGAATCAATTGATGTAAAGAAAATTATAGCATATAGTTGTTTTTAAGAAAAAATATGGAATTGTTAATTGCAAATTACATATTTTTTCTTAGAAACAACTATGTGTTTTCTTTACACTAATTGATTCCTCTCATTATTTTGTACATAAAAATATTAAGATAAGATGATCGAAAAATGAATTCGAGGTCATAATAATGTTGCTATGTAATGCGCCACATAAAACTCTATAACTTTTGTATGAAACATTTTTTTTTAAATGCGTATTTTTCGAAATATTAAGGGGTATCCAGACTTTTTCCTAATCCTGTATTACACTACATGTTATATTTGAATGAGAATGAACGAGAAATTATAGTAATTTCGGTAATATTTATGTATGTACATAATATATAGTAACTTCGGTATGTATATAGTAACTTTGGTAATATTTATGTATATTATCTATAACAATTTATTTTATGACTTTCATATAACAGTATTTATTGGTAGCTTGTGTTTACTGGGTAACTTTCTCTAAAAGCATTTTAAATATACATATATACAGGGTGTATTTGAAATGATGCACTAAACTTTAGAAGCGTATTCTAGAGGTCAAAATAAGACTTTTTTTCTTATGAACATGGGTCCGCAAATGAATCCCCTTCCGAGCTAAAATTCGAAAATGTGTGAAATTGATCAAACACTCGCAAATTTATTTATCTCTCAAGAAAGGGTGATAGGTAACGTCAAAACCTTTTTTTCTGAAATACAGCCAATTTTTAATTTTTTCCCCAAACTTTAGGGGCCTCTACCTCGGAGGGGGGGGGGGTTCATTTGCGGACCCATGTTCATAGGAAAATAAAGTCTTATTTTGACTTCTAGGATACGCCCTAAAGTTTAGTGCATCATTTCAGATACACCCTGTATATAAAATCTTTTATCTATTCAAGTGTAAGAGACAATAGCTTACGTGAATCATATAACTAGACAAAGGTATAGGATAAGTGGCAGGCGGAGGCGGATGACCACTGGATATTCGTGCGGGTGTCAGCGCTGCCATCATCAGATGAGGCTGAATTTGTCGTCGAAGAGCCGCTAACATGTCCGCACTCTCGGCATCCATTTGTTCCGTTGTCGATTGAGATGCTAAGACTGCATCTCCTTTTTCTGACAAGGTTATTAATCTTTTTAGGATAAATTTTCATTCTATATTGAAATGTAATTAAAGAAGTCGGTATATATTTTAAGGAAATTATTATATATTAATTTTCCATTAAATATTTATATATATGTATTTATATATATTCATATATGTGTGTGTGTGTGTATACAGGGTGTTTCAGACTATCCGTACCACCCATTTAAAAACTAGAGAAGTGGTTATTTCAAAAAAGTAAAAACATTTTCGTTATAAATCGGATGTGCTCTATCGAATGATGATATTTTCAACTTCTGGTTCCGACCGGAAATAGGCGATTCAGACCGGAAGTGCATTTTTTTAAATGGAACCCCCTATTTTTCATTATATATTCTTGTAGCTTACTTCGAGAGCTTTCCCAAACACTATAATAAATTATTTTTCCATGAAATACTTTTCGAGTTATGAAGCTTGAAATCATATCTTAATTTTACATAAACCATATAAAATATTTTGTAAAATATTCATTTTTCGATTATCTTACCTTAATACTTTTATGTACAAAATAATGAGAAGAATCAATTGGTGTAAAGAAAACACATAATTGTTTCTAAGAAAAAATATGTAATTTGCAATTAACAATTCCATTTTTTTCTTAATTTTCCATATTTTTTTTAAAAAACAACTGTATGTTTTCTTTACACCAATTGATTTCTCTCATTATTTTGTATATAAAAGTATTAAGGTAAGATAATCGAAAAATAAATATTTTACAAGATATTTTATGATTTATGTAAAATTAAGAAATGATTTCAAGCCTCATAACTCGAAAAGTATCTTCATGGAAAAATAATTTATTACAGTGTTTTGGAAAGCTCTCGAGGTAAGCCACAAGAATGTGCAATGAAAAATTGGGGTTCCATTTAAAAAATGCACTTCCGGTCTGAATCGCCTATTTCCGGCCGGAACCAGAAGTTGAAAATATCACCATTCGATAGAGCGCACCCGATTTAGAAAGAAAATGTTTTTATTTTTTTGAAATAACCATTTCTTTAATTTTCAAATGGATGGTATGTATGGTCTGAAACACCCTGTATATATACAGTGTCCCATTTTAAAAAACGCACCTCAATAATTCTTCAACAAAGCATTTTCAGCAAAAATGTTTCAAACAAAAGTTGTATGATTTTAAGGACATAAGATGATATGGCGTCATTAATTTGACCTTGAATAGTTACATGAAGGTCACGTGAAGGTTACCTTCAATTTTTTAAATGGAACTGCCTATTTTTTATTAGATATTCTTGTAGCTTATCTCGAGAGCTTTTCAAAACACTAAATGAAGTATTTTATCATCGAGTACTTTTCGAGTTATAAGGCTCAAAATAATTATTTAATTTTACATAAATCATAAAATATCTAGTAAAATATTCATTTTTCAATTATCTTATCTTAATGCTTTTATGTACAAAATAATAAGAGGAATTTGGTGTAAAGAAAATACATAATTGTTTCGAAAAAAAAAAATATAATTTGTAATTAACAATTACATATTTTTTCTTAAAAATTTCTTATCGTCCCCCTTAAAACCATACAACTTTTGTCTGAAACATTTTTGCTGAAAATGTTTCGTTGAAGAATTATCGAGGTGCGTTTTTTAAAATGGGACACCCTGTATATATATGCATAAGTGAGTGAATATTTAACTATTATAAAATTATTTGCAATTAATTTGTTTATATTTTGGCAGTGACAATGAAATATGCATAAAATAAAAACGACAGATTCTACATTCTATTCTTATTAGAACAGTAATTTCTGTAATTTAGCTTCATTTAATGTAATTTTCAAAAATGGACGCAACGTGCTAGTCAATTAATCCAATAAATTCATATTTTAAGAAGACCTGAACAATATATTAATGAACAGTAATATCCTTTACTAATTAAAATAAACCTTTTAATTAAAAAAAAATATTCATAGAACATGTATATTTTCAGATAAAGACTAGGGCCAAGATACTTCCTAATTTTTTTGCTACTCATTTTGATAATCGGGAAATGGATAGATCAGAGAAAGCATTCGTTGAATTGATTACAATGATATAAAGGAAAGACCATCGTTATTTTCTAAAAGAAGAGCTTGAAAAACATTTTGTTATTGTTTCTTTCAACAATGTTTCTTTCTTCTTTCAATTAGGAAAATATGGAAAATATTTTAGAATCTCTAAACATTTTTGAAATGTCTGCAAAATAGCTATGTTTAAGAGGTCTAATGAGAGATGTAAAGTTTTAAAACATGCATTATATTTCCATTTGAATCCAATGAATTCTAAAAACCATCATTGTATAGGAATACCGTACATATAACACGTGTAGCGCGTGCACTTAGCTTAACACAGAGACAATGAACAAGAACGTAGCAGTCTTCATTTTTAATTTTATTTTTAATTTTCATATTTTTTAATATTTTTTAAGTATTTTTTACATATACATGTATATATCATATTTTAACATCTATCTTATTTATTTCTTTTTTTCCCCAGACTAGTATAAACGTAATTATCCTATTTTTTGATAAATAGTTAACATAATAAGAAAATAAAAAAAAATAATGATAGATATTGAAATATGATTGTACATATATAAAAAAATAAAATATATATTTAAAAAATATAAAAATAAAAATATTTAAAAAAAATATAAAATATAAATAACAAAAGAATGAAGAAAATGTCCTTGTTCGTTGCCTCTAGGCTAAATAGTGTATGCATTCATGTTACATGAATACAGTATTCCCATGCAATTTCGCAATATAGACAATTCATTAAATGGAAATATAGTGCGTGTTTTAAAACTTTACACCTTTTATTAAACTCAGACACAGTTAAATATTATCCTTTAATAAATATTATATCCTTTTTTTCAACTTCAAATAAAATAGCAAAACATGTTTTACAGATTTCCCTTTTAGACAGTCCCTCCTTTTAATTTGAGGAAAACTTCCTTCTGATATCCATTTCGACAAATCGAGCAAAAAATTAGGGCGTATTGGTTATTTGGCCACACTCTTTCTAAAAAACATAATATGTCAATAAGAGTGATAAATTGAAAGTAGAAAAACATATATTGTGTATTCCTACATTTCTTATGACAGTTAAAATATTAATTTTAATTGTTATAACGATCATACTGTTACATTTAATTTTTTTTACTTTTCATTAATATTATCAATTCTATTCATACATATACTTTTACAAATTTCTCTAAAAAATATACATATCCCCTCCCACACACACAAAAAGTTTATTTAAAAATTTTTCAACTTATTTATTTTATAACTAATTTTTGTAAAAAATGCGAAAAGAAATTAATTTTGTTTTTAAGGCAAGCATACTTTAAATCAACAGTGCCGCTTCATTCTTTTTGTCGAGGTAGCTACTCTATTAAAAATCTTAACTAGCAATAAAAATCAAGTGTAATATCAAAAATATATTTAATTATATAAATAAAATATAAATAAATAAAAATTAAAACAATACTTCTTTAAACAACGCGAAGCTTTTCTTTTTGTAATCTTTTTATCTTTATATTCCTTTAAAAAAATATTTTTCTTTTAATCTTTAATGTTCTACGAGTATTCTATGAAAATATTGAGCTGAAATTTCTGAAATAATGATATGATTTCTGTGAATCAAGTAAACGCATTCGTTCCTGCATTTATTACTCGTAGCCAATTTAATTATTATGAACATTATTATGAACATTAAGTCATATTTTTAATTGCCATGATAATATAATTTAATTTACGTTAAATATAGCTTATAGCCAGCTGAAGAAGCAATCAATCTATTGCAATAAGACATATTTCAATAAATACAGTATTTTCTGTTACCATTCTTATCACAAGAAAGGCCTTCTGGAGATAAAATTAAATAAAATTTAAAAATAGATAAATCAATAAGTTTCTTACTTCTGTGTCTCGTAGGTTTCTCGCCTTTGGGTCTACGTCTGCGCGTATGTATAGTATCTCTTCGCATAGTAACCGGGCGATTAACACCATGAAGTTTATAATATAGCCCGCAAGCATTGCACACCATCTCACCCTTCATATTTCTTCTCCAGATCGTTGTTGTCATGGTGCCGCAATTTGTGCAAGACATATCGACCTTTTTTGCAATATTTCCACTTTGCTGATCGAATTGTTTCTGATCATCCATCTAAAATATTGAATCAGTGATATTTTATCATGCGCAATTTGCGAACATCTTAAGAGCATCAAATGTTATCGCCCGAAGAAATACCTTTCCTTTCATCTTGTTCGACCATGTGGTAAAATCATGAGCCTGCTCTTCATTGTTGGATTCATGATGATAATTGGCAACAACGTCCGGACTAGCTGGAGCCTTACTGGGATAGCTTTGCTTTCTGCGACCTTTTGATGATGCTGTCGTCATTTCCTTACGACCGATGCTGGCAGGGCTAGATGGATTACTATCTATCGAGGCACTCTATACAAAGAAACTGGACGTCATTTACGTTTTATTATTTTCAAATTTTTTCAAAAAAGATTTTCAAATTTTTATAAGTAATCTAATTTGTAATAGTTGATCCATAATATGTAAGATTTCAGTCTACATAAGAGAATCAAACATATATATTTTGCATTAAGTAAGATCAATTTTATAATAAAATTTGAATATCAGAAACAAAATTCCCTGACATTAATATTTTAATAGTATCGAATTTCGATCCAGCATTATTAAATAAGATCATTAAACAAGATTATACAAAATATATTGCTTATATACATTGAATATAAAGAAAATGCTGTATAAAGTAAGAAAGTCACTTAAAATTGTCTAATTTGGCAATACAAAATTTGACAAGATTCAATAAATTAGCACTGATGTTACCTACTTATTCATTTTCTATATAAATACTACTCTGTTAATAATAGAGATAATAAAATTAGAGGGTGCCTATTGAAATTTTATAAAAAAATTCCACGATCTTTCTGATAGTTTTGTTCAAAGTTCCAGGTAAATAAAATAATTTAAAGATTTTTTAGTGAAGCTTTTAAAAGGAGATAAATTTTTTTATTGTACACATACACACACGTTTTCTAATGTTTTTCACTTATACAAAGGAAAAACATAGAGTCACATTAGCTGTGCAAATGTACTGAAAAAAAAATTAAATAGCTTTCGTAAAATGAATGTTTTTTATTTGCATAACATTTTAATTTTTTATCATTAAAAATTATAATAAAGAATATGTATTGCATATTCAACATTTTGTTAAGACATTAAATTTATAAACAACGATATATTTACACAATTCACAATTTGACTTAGATTATCGATTTATAATATAAAATTTATAATATAGAAGCAAAATTATATATTAAAGAATTTTTTTTAATTTCTTTTTTTCAAATTCTATAAGAATTCTCTAATTTTTCCAGGTATGAAATAAGTCTCTGAGAATCTTAGAATTTCTATGAATTTCTAGAGAGTTGACACCTTAAATTAATTATTTAAAATTCTATATTAATGGCAAGCGAAAATAATGTCATAATTCAGATAATAAATTGATAAAAATGATAAAATGTATAAAAGTGTAAACATATAATCAAGAAATATTTAATTAAAGTAAATCTATGTAAAGGCATTATTAATAAAATTTCTAAAAACAATTTTTTTTTTTAATGTAAAAACATTTTAAGAGGAAATAAATATTTCAGTAAATGATGAATTTATGCCTTTCTATTATCAAAACAATTATTTAAAAAAAAATATACATGTATATTTCTCATATTTATACTTGATCTATTACAAAGAAACAATACTAGAAAAAAAACACAAATTACAATAAAACACGAATTTACAATTCTCAGATCTTGCAGATCTATTTCAGAATAAGCATATATTTTGTAAAGTATTTCAAAAATATATTGTTGAAATATTAAAATTTAATTAATAAATTAATAAAAAAGAATATTTCTTTTCTATATGTATATTTTTACTTTTACTGTAATACCAATATAATATTTTTTTAAATATTTTTTATAAGTTTAATTTACGTAAATAATTCGTTATTTTATGTACTCAATGTAATTATTTAAGAAAAAATCTATAAGAACATTAAAACTGAATGAAAAAGAATTTAAACATATATAACATTTATTTTATATTTTTCTTACACATCGTATTTCGATTAAAAGAAAAAAAGTTCTAAAGAAATTCCCGGTTTATCTATTATCTTCATAAAGAATTCTACCTGGAAGTGAATATGTTTTGAATAGTCCTAAAAGATATTTTCAATGGTCCATCCAATGGCCTGAGGTTTACCCTGTCTCATACCTGCGGATTTTTTCTCTCTATTTACTAGACAGATGTTCGCATTTCGCAAGGTATGTATATCGAAAAAAACGTTTTGTGTCTATTTAGAAGATAAGCACGCACGAACGAATCCAAGAATTTGCAAATTTCCTTTTTTACTGTTCTTACAAAATTTTTTAAAATTTTTAAAATCAAGACCAAATCTGACTTACCTTATTTTCTAAAGTTGCTATATTCGTACGATTACCGAGCACAGGGAAATCAGTTAACGTGCGTTCAATAGTTGTCCCCTGGGTATCTCTATAGAATTTGATTTGCGGAGATATTTTATCTGAATCAACGGCGGTAATACCAATCTGCCTGTTGTTAATCAAAGAGCGCAGTAGATTTGTAGCTTCCCCGGTAAATCCATTGTTTAACTTATCACCATTTGTTCGCGTGATTTCCAAACTTCTATTACTGCATTAACAAATAAACAAATAACACATATAATTTTATAATTTTATCTTTTACTTATAAGTTATGACATCTCATTAGCACAATTTATGATATCCGATTGTAAACAAAATAAACAAAATTAATACAATACGAAATGCCTGCTTGATAAATAATAATCACTTTAAGAATATCTCATTATAATTTTTATTGAATTTTACTAATGTAACTTGCAAACAAAAATTAGATTGAAAATTTAAATAATTAGACAATACAAACTCTCAATATAAACAAAAGTAAATTTATTAGCATAAAAAATAGTAAGTCATACAATCTATTTTAGTATATATTATATAGAAACTACTAATTAAACATTTTATTAGTTTATATTTAAATAATTTAATTCGTTATTTCACACATATAATAATATAAGAATATGAAGTATGATATATGATATGTACATAATGCAGAGCATTAAAAATATAATAATGATATATATTAATAACTTAGTAGCTTTATAACATTTTTTATAACTTTATAGTTTTTTTTAATTATTAAATTAAATTAAGCCATTAAATTCTGAAGATTGAATATAAAATATTTTACTTATAAAGTTGAACATATACATTGCATTCTTACAGAATCCAGTTAATTATATCATATTAAACAAAATTTGCTAAATAAACAAATTTACTTACTTGGCTAAAGCTTGCCAGAGCTTTGTCGTTTCATGGTCAATATTACTATCAGAACAATTGCTCTCTGGAGTATCCATTCTATTAACTGGACTACAATTTGCTGTGTTGGATTCAGAGCCATCATAATTCTCCTCAACTTTAATTTTCTTGTTAACAGTCATGTCGTAACCATTTTCTTCATTTTCGATTTCTTGTTCGTCGCGATCCTCAATTTCTAGTCGTTCAGGATCGGAGCTATTAGAACATGTGTCATCTTCTGGTTCACACTTAATATTATCATGTTCTGGCATATCACTGTTTTGTAACTGTAGATGATGCGTTAGAGTTTGAGGTATTATGTTTTGATTAATGCTGGCCGGCTCGGAGTTAGACTCCTCATTGAATAATGTCCTATTCAACTCGAGGAACGATTGTAGTGGGCTTTCGCCTGCTACTTTGGCAGTGGAGAGAGTCTCTTTCTAAACCAAAAAGAATAAGATATGAACATTAACTTTATTTTTTTTTAACTTTTATTTTAACATAGATTTGATTTGCATTTTTAAAACAATATATAATTTATAAGTTAGTTCCAAATACCTGCTCATCAAGAGATGACAATTGCTTGGCATAATCCAGGTACTGTTTAAGTATAATATCAGACTTTTGCGACACTTCTCGAAAGTTGTGTAGTACGTCCAATTTATATACACACCGATGGCAGATAATCGATGGTAAGGTATCACCATCTTTTACCTTAAAAAAAAATATATCATATATATATTAAATATTATATTATATATATATATATATATATATATATATATAGACTTCTATTATATTTCAGAAAAATGTATTAATAGTAATGTGCAATTCAATTAATTTCTATAATAAGATTTTTTTATAGTAAAACTATTTATAGATATTTTATTTTACAGTCAAGTAAAATATAATTGGATAAAAATTAATATAAAATCTCTTCAATTTAGGCAATTTAGGACATGAAAGGAATTTAATTTTTGAGCAAATGTTTGTAAAGCAATGTTTGCAAATTTCTATTAAACGAGATATTGAATGGAAAATATATTTTCAATATGAATTTTTAGTTTTCGCTTACAAAAGAATTTCAAATTTTTCATACATATATACACACATATGCGCGCACGATATAATTATATATAAATTATACATATAAAGAGGACATGATGTACAATTATATATATACAGGGTATCCCAAAACTCATAATCAATCTTTCAAAGACAGATTCTGGGATCATTTGGAGACGATTTTTCCTCAGCGAAAATGTCGATGAAGGCCATCATTTTTTGCATGTTCCCGATTTTTGTCATCATATATTTCTTTGCAATTAAGCCTCAAATTAAAACTCGACTAAAGTAAACTCTATTTAAAATTAATCGAAGAATGTGATTTTGTTAATATTTTATTTCTACAAAGCTTAGTTTATTAGAAAAACCCCTTATTTTGCATCACTTATAATTCGAAAATTATTAGTGCCTTGACATTTTCATTGAGGAAAAATCGTCTTCAGATGATCCCAGGAATCTATCTTTGAAAGATTGATTATGAGTTTTGGGGCACCCTATATATATATGTATATATATTTTTTGGGACACCCTGTATAACACACACATACACATACACACACACACACACGATGTTCCTATATATATATATATATATATATATATATATATATATATTGGAACACCCTGTGTGTGTGTGTGTGTGTGTGTGTGTGTGTGTGTGTGTGTATTATACAGGGTGTCTATATATATATATATATATATATATATATATATATATATATTAGGGAGTTTATATATATATATATATATATATATATATATACAGGGTGTCCCAAAACTCATAATCAATCTATATATATATATATATATATGTGTGTGTGTGTATGTGTGTGTATGTATGTATCTATATTTACATATCAATAAGACTTTAAGAACCATGTGTGTGCTTTTGTTCGTCGATGAATGTCTTTAACAAGTTTAGAAAGATATTAAGAGAATGAGTTATCGTAGTGACGCGACAACGAAATTCACGTGTGAAACATGATAACAGGACACCCAAATAAGGTGCCGTTGCGTCCTCCCCCCTCCCCCTCCCCCCCATTTCGACGACTCCGACTCGAGTTCCACTTCTCATTCGCGCGCAGGGGCTTATCACTGCCATTTTAAATACCGTTGCTCTCAGTTTGTCGGCGCTTATCTCGCGAATACATCTCCTGCCAAACTTTCTCCCGTAGCGCGCACACGCACACACCACATACGCATGCATCGCATACGCACGCATGCACATGTACATACACACATATATATATATATATATATATATATATATATATATAAATATATACATCGATGTGATATCATAAGTTTGTTCGCATTACTCGCACTTTCTACGCCAATCTTTCTCGTTTTCTCTCTCTCTTTAACATTCAAATATATATATATATATATTTATCTCGATTTAAATGCAGAAATTTTGAGGGAGTGCAAACAGCACGACAGACCTCATGAATGCGAGTGGAATCGCGAATGCAAAGACGTACAGACTAAAGAGAGACAGAAAGGAGCAGCACTCGCAATTATAGAGTAAGTGAATGAGTGAGTGAGTGGACGAGTGTCTGTGTGTGTGTGTGTGTGGAAGAGAGAGAGAGAGAGAGAGAGAAAGAGAAAACGACGGAAACGACAAAGACAGAGAAACGCATCGCGCGAATGACGAGTCTCTCTCTCTCTCTCCCCTTCACCGCCCTGGTTCGTCGAGAAAAGAATTGAAGTGAATTTATTAATCGTGCTCACCGTGATTGACAGGCACGCTGATATTTTGTCAGCGAAACTCCGCTGAATGCCTTCCTCCTCGAATATGGAACACTTGACACCGTCCGGGGATAAACAAAGGCGACACAGCTCGTAGAACTTCTGCGGTATATCGAACATAATTGCGAGCTACTCCGGCTTGCCTGAGGCTCACGTAAAGTGCGAGTCATCAAGGGATGATGTGCTCCTTCTAATAAGCGGCCGATGTGCTATCCTTCTCCACTGCCACTAATATTATACTCGTGTCGAGCGATCTGAAAATGGGTTTACGCGGATCACTTATCACAGCCACCGCTGCGGTTCATTGTCAGCGGCACAGTACACGCATTATCATGTATCACGTAATACGAAGACAGCGAGTCTCGTGGAAAATGCTGGAGATGAAGTGGAGACTCCATAGGGTATATATTATACTAGATTGTTAACAGTGACGTTATTGGTTGAAGCTAGAGCAGCCATTTATAATTGGGCAGGATATATACGGAGTGTTTCATTCAGACATCAATACACTATGGATCATATTCTGAATCCTCTTTTATCGATAAAAGTGCCTCCAAAAGTGCCCTTACAGCCAATCAGAAAGCTATAAGCCATTTTTAGAGGCACTTTATCAATAAAAGAGGATTCAGAATATGGACCTATAGGTTTGTTCGCGGCGCATGCTCCAATATACTCCAGAGAGCACTTAGGGTATTTTCCTTCACGCACGATGCGCATGAAGGCCGGTATTCATAGTCCGGTCTTATATTTAAGATTGGCTTAAGTCTGGTCCGAAGTTGGCTTAAGACCTCATTCAACCAATCAAATAGTTGCGTAGCATTCCAAACTCGAACCTAAGACGATCTCAAATATAAGATCGGACTGTGAATACCGGCCCTAGTATTCTAGTACTTTTCCGAGATTCCGTTTTCCGAAATTTCGACTGCCATATGAACTATAGTTATACTTAGAGAACCTCTAGGAGAGAGAATGGACAAGTGATCAAGCTTTTTCATGATTGGCTGGCAGAAAATGTATCAATTTTAGCTATTGCGACGCCAATGCAAAATATGATGACACACAAATAGGACACACATGACACACATATATTAACCTATTTGTGTGTCATCATATTTTGCATTGGCGTCGCAATAGCTAAAATTGATACATTTTCTGCCAGCCAATCATGAAAAAGCTTGATCACATGTCACATGATCAGTTGTCCATTCTCTCTCCTAGAGGTTCTCTAGTTATACTAAGGCACTAAATATATGAGTATTCTATACTCCGCCATTTTTAATCCATCTCCCCATATAATCTCACTAACCTATCTACTATAATCTCAGCTTAGCGACGAGGCGAGTGACACGAGAAACAAGGAGGGGGAATGGATTAAAAATGGCGGAGTATAGAATACCTGTATATTTAGTGCTCTAGTTTCTGTAAGGCACTAAATATATGAGTATTCTATACTCCGCCATTTTTAATCCATCTCCCCACCCCATATAATCTCACTAACCTATCTACTATAATCTCAGCTTAGCGACGAGGCGAGTGACACGAGAAACAAGGAGGGGGAATGGATTAAAAATGGCGGAGTATAGAATACCTGTATATTTAGTGCTCTAGTTTCTGTAGAGAAGCAGTGTCCGGAGGAGGTTAGAGAGAGAAACATACTTTTTAGTACTTCTCTTTCTACAAGTGTCCGGAAGTATGCATTGCACTTGTAGAAAGAGAAGTACCAAAAAGTATGTTTCTCTCTCTAACCTCCTCCGGACACAGTCTGATACGTATTGCCAGTCCATACTTATAAGGTCTATGGAGGGCACCCATTGTTGACACTGCTTTGGAAGTGACTTCCGACTACGGGAAAACACTTTATAATGTGCAATTATAAGAAAATTGTGTAATTAAATAACATTATATAATAATAAAAATGAAAATGTGTTGTGTATATCGTTGTAAAACGTCTTCTTCAAATTCTAATGAATCGTTTTTTAGGTAAATATTTATTACAATACAATCTTTATATAACCTAAAATAATTTAAAAAGTAGTATATTTTGATGAATATTTTATATTATTTTTTCAGTTTTCCAAAAAGAGAAGATATCTTTAAAGAATAGAAGAAAATAGTACCGACAAAAAACTATATCACAAAGCATTCTCGTATTTGTAGTAAACATTTTCAGAACTCTTGTTATGAGCACATTGGAAAAAAACGAGTATTGAAATATGATGCAATATACCTACAATATTTAATTATGATTTAGAAAATGTAAGTAATATTTTACAATTCACTTTATTTTTAATTATAAAAATGTATATCCATAAAAAATTATGAAATTTATATTTATATATTTACATTTTAATACATATATTCTAAAAAAAATTTGTAAACTAAAAATATTTATATAATGATTGAATTTAAAACATATTTATATAAAATTGAGTTTTTAATATATTTTTTAGATTGCATTATTTATAGATAAATATAAAAAACCAGAATCTCTTCGCCAACCTTTAGTTGTTCTACACACTAATTCTATGTCTCAGTCATCATTGACAATAGTTGATACAAAAATTTCAAATGAAATACTAGAGATTAGCTAAATGAATAGTATTATATAATCTTAATAAAAAATTAATTATATAAATAATCATATTTTAAACATTTTTTGTTATTAGATAAAAGATGTTGCAATGACATTTCAGACTTCAAAAATAGAAAAAGAGTTAAAAACAGTTGCAAAAACAGATGTAGCCACTGAAATATCTCCACATTTAGTAAGACCAACTGAAGAAGAAAATAAATTAAGAAACAAAATAAAGAATCTTCAAGCTTGCTTACGTCGTAAGGAAAAGAAACTTTCAAGAGTTACTGAATTATTAAAACATTTAAAAGAAAAAGGTAAATGTACGGATAGCTTAGAAGAGATCTTAGTAAACAAGTTTTCAGATTTTTATTTAGAATTATTTAAAAATGAGCTTGACAATACAAGTGTTTCAAAGTACCAGCAACATTATTCAGATAAAATGAATTTGCACAAACTTTATATTTTTATTCATCAAAAGCATATACATTTGTACGTTCAAAATTAAAATTACCTCATCATTCAACACTACGAAAATAGATACCCAGTAAGCAAGAAACATTTGATCAACATTCTAAAATGTTGATTTTATATAAATTTTCTAAACATTATGTAATGTTTTATAAATATTATATAATGTTTTATAAATATTTTAAAAATATTCTAATAAACATATTAATAACATTTAAAAAATATTTTAATTTGTTTTATAAATATTTTTAAAAAATGTTATTTAATAACATCCCTCTTAAAATATTAATAAAATATTTTAGAAACATTAATCAAAATGTTTTTTATATGTTATTAATATGTTTATTATAAATAAAAATATAACATCCAGTTACAAGTTCGTTCGCGTTGTTATTAAACGTCGTATTATTTATTTCATACATATCTTTAGACTATTCTTTTCATAATATATCTTAATTTCTTCCTCGTGACGGGCATGACGACACCTAATACGTTACTGAGAAGCAACATTCGGTGGGATATGCGTATACACTCTATACATATGCGTGATTTATTCTTTTGTTCTTTGACTTCAGAACACTCGTGCCGGCTGCCAGCATGTCATGTGCTCTTACACGATCTCGCATAATAAGTAAGTTACAGTGTTTTTGCGAGTTATAGTGCTGCACGAAAGAAGAGGAAAGTGTTTTTTTCCAGTGTGTTATAATATATTGTAAGTTATTTTTAGAGATATGTCTAAATATTCTCAGATTTTTCAGTGAAAGTTCTAAAAGTCTTAAATTAATGTTAGAATTAATATTATTGTGATATTAATATTAAGTTATATAGATGTTGATACTAATGTTATTTTATTATAGATTTAATTTTATGAGAAACATTATCAGAATGTTAAAACAACATTAATACAATATTACTTGTAACGACATAGAAAATGTTATTTCAACATTACCGAAACCTTTAAATTGGTGTCAAAGTTTGTTCATAATGATGTTGCATACAATGTTAAAAACTACATACTTGACAACATTACTATGTTAGTGAATATCATTATAATAACGTTGTGGTAATAATTTTTTGCTTACTGGGTATACATTTGTACGTTCAAAATTAAAAAATTACCTCATCATTCAACACTACGAAAATAGATAGCAAACTATTCATGTGAAGCAGGATTTTTAAATGACGTTTTCAATTTTTTGAAAAAAGAATCATTAAAAGTAGATTATATATCAGACGTGGCATTAATATTTAATTCTATGTTCATTCGTTCTCAGTTTGTAATTGATCCTAAAGATAAGAATTGTAAAGGTTTTCTAGATTATGGAACTGCTGCAAAAGAAATAAATTTAACTATTAATGAAAAAGAAATAGTTACAGATGTTCTGGTATTTTAAGTTGTGACTTGTAGTACAAAATTAAAAATACCAATTGCTCACTTTTTCGTAAAAGGTGTTTCTGCCAAAATTTTAAAACAATTGCTTTTACTTGCACTCAAGAAATTATACAACAACAGCGTTATAATTAGATCTATTATTTGTGATGGTGCCCCACACAGCAATATGACTTCTAAAAGAATTCTTAAAGAGTTCTCACGTAAGATTTAGACATCCGAATGTATCTTCTGAAAGAAGACTTAATGACTTCAGAAAGTAATCTAATGCGCCACTTTAAGAAATAAGTAAGACTTCTTCAAAAAGATGTCTTAAAGACTTCTTTTTTCTGATTTCTTTAAGACGACAATAAGAACGCTTTTTTGAGAATTGATGTTTCGGAAATGATATTATTATTTCAATATATATGTATTAAAAAAAGTTTTATTTCAGTTATTTGATTTTTGTTGATTTATAAATTTATAAAGAAAATATAAATTATGCCTTATAAATAATACAAGTAAAGCATAATCACATATATGTTTATAAAAATACATAATATAATTTATATTATTCTATATATATATATATATATATATATAATATAAATTATGCATTGTGTTTTTTTTCATGGTATCGAACGCGATCACCGGCATGCTGAAGCCAGCTTTGTATTATTGTCTGGACCTCATGAATGGTGCAAGCCTCCGAAGCGATCATGGCTTCTGAAATAATAATTAAGCTGTGTAAACACCTTTAAATATTGATTTTAATGAAAAAAGATAGAGTGACCAAGCTAGTAAATAAACGATTTAACCAATCAGTTAACAATAAAAGTTTTTATTTTTTAATAATGGAGAAATTTAAAAAATTGCAATTAATATTTAAAGATTGACGACTTAAGTAGTTATTAACCATTTTCATCATGTGGTTATGAGGAAAAATTTTGATTACATGCTTAAGGAGGTACCGTTAATGCATACCAGTCAAGTAAAAGAAACTTTCGCACCACTTCCTTTTGTACTTCCTTAAATTTAAATGATGTTCATTCACTGTTCCGTTCATTTACACAGCCTTGGTTACGCTAATATGAATTACAAATTATCGGTCCGATTCGAAATTTAGTTACCTACAAAAACATCAACAAATTTCATGTCTTTGACTCCGATCGTTTTTTTTGACCTGTCCACGATAGTTTGCATGCCAAATCGTCGTTTAATATGGTGATTAGTATTTGACGGATATGTTTCTTAACATCTCTGCCACCTCTGATCTGAATCATCTTTTTCTGAAAAAATATAGTTTAAGTAACATACTAGAAGAAGTAGAATAATAAGTAAAATAATAAGTAAATAATAATTAAAATAAATTAAATCAAAATTTTTGGTTAAATTTCTAGAAAAAAATTCTTGATATGTCAAATGAACGTAAATAAAAGCTGCGTGCGCGCGCGTGTGTATGTGTGTGTGTGTACTACAGAAATAGTAAATAAATAGCTAGATATATATTACAACCAGAAATTTTAATAATTTATGATAGTTGAAACTGAAGCAAATTTTTCAAGTAGTAAATAGAATTTAAAAATTATTAACATATTGATTACGTGCTCCTGCATCGTCATCTAATAATTTATTAAATGCCTTTAAACTTTCTATATTTTGTATAGGAAATTGTGGTAGGGCATTAGCATTTTGCGGATTTTCATTAATGTGATTAGAGTCCATAAGAAACATACTTAAAGCTTCAAGTTTATGCAATATTCTTTCAATATTGAGACGACATGCAGCTGTAAATAGAAAGATAGCATTAATCAGTTATGTGTAAGCTGTAAGACTTCTTGTTGATAAGTGAAATAAGATAAATTTTCTTTTAAATTATTTAAAAAACATGCTCAGTCAGTATCTTTATCTTATTAAGGAGGTTGGGGCGTTACATAATATATGATAAAAAAATTTTGTAGATTTACATATTAAAAAAATCATTATCAAAATTTTATAAAGTTTAGGAAGCTGTTTATTGAAAAAAACTTAATTAGAAAATCGTCAAAATTACATGGACTCTTATACTCACAACAACAATGTGTATGACACTTCGTGGAGGATGGATCCTTAACAGTAGCAGCAGTAGTTTTTTGCTTTACAACTGAAGAAACATGAGAAGACTCAGGCTTTTCTTGGCTTACTACACGTATTGGTATATCTATTGAAACATAACCGACATTTTCAAGATATATTCATTACATAACTACAAAATAATCATAACTATATAAAACTGCATATTTTGTAAAAAAAATAAAAATTTGTTATAGCTATGATTAGAATTTGTTAGCTGGTCCTAATAATGGTACAATTTACTGGTTTTAATACTATGAATAATTTTAACATCCTTGCGTGGTTGGAAATAAACTGAATCTAAAAATATAAAAATTTAGAATGAATATTACAAAACTTGACACAGCAATCTTATTTTTATATTTTTTGGGAAAACTAACCAGAATTGAGATTTTTGTCACATTTATTAACAGGTTTGACTTTTTTTAAATCAATAGCTTTTTCAGATTGTACTGGGTCTGCAAAATAATTTCCGTAATCCAAGAGTTCTGTGTCTTCGAGTAATTCATCATCCTTATGGTTATTGTTATTGTCAGGCTCCAAATATATATTTTCATCTTCAATATTCTTTACTTTCTGACATTTAGAGGCATTTGTTGGACCTAAATAATTATACACATAAAATTAAATAAAAATACAATGATAACGTCAGAGTGATAAAATATAAAATTTAGACGAGTACTAAATATATGCAAAAAATAATGGAAATTATTTTTTTATGATCTATTTAACATTAAACAAAATTTTTTACCTTTTGCTTTAGATTCCACCAAATTTTTTTGTTCTTTGTGATCAACATTATATGCAAATGTAGGTTTGGGAACATTTTTTTTAATTTTAGTTGTAATGGCTAAGAAAAAAGTATAAAGAACTTATAGTCTATAGCATTTATAAAATATATAAATGTATAGACAATAACAAATTGATACACTACTCTCCGATTCATTATCAGCATCTTCTTCATCAGATGAAATTAAATGTGCCGGTTTTTTTCGAAGGCGTTTCTGCGGAAGTTGATCACTTTGATTAGTAATGTTTTGTAATGGCTCTTCATCATCGTTAGTCGATAAATCAACAGCAGCAATTTCTACTGCTCTGGCAGTTTCGTAATTACCTTGGAGAAAATTAATTTATATAAATTTAATAATAATCAGCCCAGTAAACACAAGCTAATAGCAACATAACATTAATTATTAACATTACATTGAACTTACTATACGGTCCTAACACTCTTGTGTATTTGATGACTGCCCAATTATCTTTTGGATTAGTCGCTTTTTTAGATTCCATCGTTGGATTACTAGTTTTCGGGGGCCATTGTACTTTATGTATTTTAAGATTTAACCAACATGCTGGCACAGTCGCACACCAATCATGGCAAAATACAACAAAATACATCTGGAAAAAATAGCAGTATTTATGAAAATTAATGTGAGGTTATTTGTAATTCATACCTAATACTCTTATTCATTCGAAAAGTATTAAATTTACTATTTTTAATAATTATTAGCATTTTTTCAATACACTTACCTTAATTAATTGATTTATAACGCACTAAACTGCATACAAGCGTATATGAGTGTTATTCTATAAAATGGTTGTGTAATCAATGGTTGTGTAATGGTTGTGTATCATCTGTGCGTAATGGTGCATCCATCTCTAGAAATAACATTCGACAATCTTCATATTCGCCCTCTTGCATACATTTACCACATCCAAAAAAACCATTATGTCCTTTTGTACATGCTACAAACGCTCGAGCCGGAGAATCACAAATAATAGCTCTAATTATGACTTGAAACGTTCTATTATAATATTCGAAGCCTTGTCTTCGTAAAGTATTGTATTTTTCGATGAATTCTTGAAGAAATACGTCACATCTATCAGGTTTGTTATATCCATGATATATTCCAACGACAAACGGTTGAGCAACTTTAGGGAATATTTCAGCCAGTATAGGATATAACTGACTTTTAGAACTTTTTGATATTGGTAATCCATCAATATGTACGTTTATGTGGATATTTTCAAACATTTCACTGACACCAACTAATTTTAATTGATCAATTAATCCTCTTTGTAAACCGTAATGGAAATATTCTCCAGGTACAACGGAACGAATCACAGTACTTCTAGGTGTATTGAGCAAAGTTCGTGGATCTTGCGGAAGTTCTTTTAACTGCTGAACTGATTGGACATTATTACGAAGAATCTTTAATAGAGCTCCTGCTGCTGTATGAGTTACATTATAATGGCAAATCCATCGTGCCATCTGTTCTTTCAAGTCAATTGTTTTCTTACTTTGTGGAATATCATACAATTCATCATTATCTGTTGAAGTATTATTTTCTGTTGAAGTTTCTTCATTAACATCTGATTCCACTGAGCTGACTACATCATTATTACAATCATCACTTTCACTTGTGATAACTGCTTGTAAATTATTTAATAATTTCACATTATCCGCATATTCTCCATCAGTTTTTGATTTTATCACTTCCTTCACAGTTATTTTTTCAGTCTCACAACTTGAACTACCAGGCATCTCCAATAAAGAGTCATATTCTTTTTTTATTCTTCTATTTTTTTGACTCTTAGATAAGTTCTTGAATGATTTCCTTTTGGACATTTTTTGTACAAAAACACACTTTACCTGTAAAATTCAATGAATGTTTTAAAGATTATAAATAAAGAACAGCTTTTATTTATATTAACATAATTTGTAATATATATATATATGTAATAATTATTAACCAAGTATATAATATACTTATATATATATTATAATATTTCACTTATTTAGCCTTCAAATACTGCACTTGGTTACGTTAACCCTATAACATAACCCAATGAAGGGTTTTCCGATTAAAGATAACTTATTCTCTTATTTAAAAATTAATAATATGTAATAAATCTTCTCAAGTTTTTATATCAATAAATATTAGTTATTAATTATTTATCAATTATTAATTAAATAAACTATAGTATAATAGGTATCAAAACTTACTTGTAATTAAATTTTAATTATAGGTTAGATTGCACTAAAGCGTTTTACTATTATATGACGCGCATGCGTAGGAGCAGTAAATTCAGTGAAAGTCATGAGTCAATCTAAAACTTGTCATAAATGAGATAACAAATTGTAGTCTGAATTAAGAAGTCTTTCTGATGACAGAAAAAAGATTTCTTCAAATTGACGTCTATAAGAGATCTTATTCGCAGTTCTAAAAGACGTCTTAAGAAAGAGTTCTTAAAGATATCTTTCAGCGTTATGTGCTGTCTGGGGCTGTGGCAAATATTAATGCTTTTCAAAAATTAGGTTGTATATTTATTCCAGGACATATGAAAACATCATTTGAACATCCATGTACAAATACAAATGTTTATATAATTCGCGATCCCTGCCATATGATTAAATTATGCAGAAATACATTTGCTGAAAAAGAACTTTTCGAAAAACGGAAAAATATCATTTAAATACGTTAAGGAATTACATAACATACAAAATATTGAAAATTTAAAATTCGCTAACCGTTTGTCATTATGTCATATTAATTTTAAGCAAAAAAAAAATGAAAGTATCTTTAGCAGTTCAAACTATAAGCTCTAGTGTAGCTGACGCAATAAATTATTTAAGAGTAATAGAATGCGAACAATTTCATGACAGTGATGCTACTTGTGAATTTTTATATATGTTTGATCGTTTGTTTAATACATTAAATTGTCGTAGTGTTTACGGCAAAGGTTATAAATCTCCGTTTTCTCTATAAAATCTGTTTAAAATGAAGTTTTCGAAATTTCTGAAAAGTATATTTATCAACTAAAATTGGAAGGTCAATCCATTTTAAATGGTAAAAGAAAGACTTTTGCCTTAGGATTTTTAATAAATATTTATAGTTTTCGACAATTAGCTCTTGATCTTTTAGAAAACATTGATAAACCGTTAAAGTATTTTTTACCCTATAAATGTTCCCAAGATCACATTAAATTATACTTTTCTTGTCTTCGGTCTCGTGGTGGATGGAATAACAATTCAAACATATTACAAGTATTATATGGGCTGTACGCCGTTTGTTATATAGAAATGTCATAAAGCCTAGTTTAAATGCTAATTGTTTAACTGAAGATTTTGAAACAACGCCTATATTAGAATACCGTTTTAAGAAACGTATGCTCAAAAATAATGTGATCGATGATGATATAGAAATTGAAGATTTAATGAGTAAACTCAATAATATTACATTATTTGTCATTTTATCAAAAAGATATATCATATTATATTACAGGCAACATTATTCTAAAATTTTTGCAAAAATGTACATGTCTCCATTGTCGTGATATTGTTCTTATGCCATATACTCTAACGATCACAATTATGCATTTAATAACAATTCTTATACTAGCTTTACTACATTTGTTAATAGAAAAAAGTTGTGCTTTCCATCGAAATGTTGCTATGATATTGTAAAATTTTGCGAAAAGATATTTAAATCTGAAATGGAAATAGGTTTTAATGGTTCTAATAACTTTAAACAAAGAGTAACTGCGGCAATAATTAAATTTTTTGTACCATTCATTAATTTCGCTTCACAAACAAAATCAACAAGTGACACATCTCTGAATAAATCTCTGTTTATGCTTTCTCATCCAATAATTGAAACTGTTAATCAATACGACGAATTGCACGAGATAAAAATCATTAAGTTTATTGCTGCAACATATAGACAACTACAAGATTAAATGCTTATGCAAAAATAAAAACTTTAGAATACTTGGGTGCAAAAGCTACAATTAGATCTAAATTGCACAATACTATTTTATTTTATCACATATAAATTATTTTCTAAAAAAAAATTTCAATATATATTACTTGTTATACCAAATATATTAATTATAATACCAAAGTTATATTTTTAAAATTAAATAAGAAATGAAAATATTCTGCGTGCATTTTGTAATGCATAATGAAGTGTAATATTTTCTTTTTTTATCTGTAAAATTTGTTTTATAAAAAAAAATATTTTATTTTGTTTCTTAAATATTTACGAATTGTTATTTTCTTTTAAAAATTTTAAAATGCAATAATTTTTACATAACTCATAAGTCATGTAACTCATGTATGCTTGTAATTTATGTTATATAATTTCACTACATATCTTATTTTATGACTAATAAACATTTTCGTTCTTTTCTTTTTTAATCTAATATCTTTTGTATCATTTACACCTTACCCTATGCTCTTCATTATTTTTTTCTAAATATTCAATAATTTCAATAATTTATTTATTAAATAATATTAAATAATTTGATATTTTTTTTATTTCAGATATATTGATTGGTTAATATATGTCAGTATAATTGTTAACAACTTGATAAATAATGTGTAAAGAAAATTTTGAGAAAAATATTTTATTGTATATATTATACATTATTATTGTATATATAGTGCATATTATATATATTAATAGTATGTACATATTATATGTCTTATAATGTCCAAGTTTACCTAAAAGTATCAGAGTAAATAATATTCAATTATTTTTTGTAAAATAATGTAAAAATATTACTTATTATATATTTCTATATTTTTCTACTTTATATTTATACATATAGTTGATTTTAAAAAATTGTAACTCTGTGTCTGTGTGTATAAATATATGTATAAAAATTTTTAACAAAAAATACTTAGAAATCTTCTAAGGAGCATCGGAATTAAATTATTTATCAATTTTTTGATGAGACTGTACAGCAGCTATCTCTCTCGACGACGCGACAGTGTTGCTTGCGCTCATTCCAGTATAACTATAGTTCAATGATTGCTCCTTAGGCCTAGTTCCACAATCCAGTTAATCCGAGTTTAAGTAGCAAATGGACCAATCAGGACCCAGTTTAACGTATTAAACTCGGATTAACTCGAGTTGTGGAACAGGGCCTTAGAGTATGTTCTATCACGACGCGAACATTTATGCCCGATTTCACCAACAGCGTTTAACTTTAATCTTAGTTCAACTCACTCTTTGTCTCTTTTTAAAGGAAGAGTTAGAAGGAGATAAAGAGTGAGTTAAACTAAGATTAAAGTTAAACGCTGTTGGTGAAATCGGGCATTAGTGTGACATCCCATGGCGCGTATTGCGATACGCGCGTATCGGGCGTATCGAGCTCTGACCAATGACAGACGATCCACCGTTTTTAATACACTGATGATCCGTTGAATTCATTATTCGAACGGATCGCTGTGCGATGCATTACACGTACACATACGTATGTACCATGCCATATATATGCTATATATATATTTGACGCATGCGCAAAAGTGCTAAAACAAACTAACTGTGCGAGAGAGAAGGTATCGTCTGCACCGTAATATTTTCGCTCATACTTTCTACTGAACTGGCAATATAGGAGTACTCCCAGATAGACATATGTCAGAATGTTGCCTGCATAATGACAAAATTTTAAAATTGAAAATGCTTGCATAAACATTGAAAGATGTGTCCTCATATGACATGAACGTTATCAACAAGTGAAAGAGATCTTCTGATGCTGTAAAAATTGCGACAATATGCTGCTTATTTTGTCAGAAATAGAACGCAATTAATCCGACATTATTGGAGCAATAAAAAAGGAATATATTTACAAAATTATTTTTGATTAAATATTACTATATTTTACGACTAGATTTGAAACTGATATTGAAATTGTTTCAAATCGAGATATAGTCGGTATACGCGAGATTGCTTAATTTATTTAATTTTAAGAAAGCTTGACGAAATTATATCCGCTGACGAAGTTATAGCCATTTACCTTATGTATAAATGGATGGCATTATGTATCCTTTATAATATATAAAACATTTGGCCCAACAAAATTAAATAATAATATAATTTATCTATTTCATACAAAAATTTTATACAAAAATTTTAATATTTTACATAAAAATTTTATTTATATTTATACTTGCATATTGCACTTTACATCTTAAATAGATAACGAATTATTTTCGTTTATTCGCTGGACATTTATTTGTCCGACTTATAAAAGCAACTTAATATCTGAAGCATTGGGATCAGAAATTAAATTGAACAGTATATTCTTTAATGTTATTTGTTACTCTTTGCAAACTTTATATAATTCTTCTAACTAAAATTTAAATACGAGAATGATAGCGCATCAGACGTCGCGTAGAGGTAAACGAACGAACTAATACATTTTGCGTGTGCTTTTTGTGCACACACAAATTTATTTCTAATGCCTAAAATATAACTGAATTGTAATATATGTAATATTTTATGTCAATAAAATGTTGTGTATTTCTAAATGACAATACAAAATTAAAATAGCATAAGAACGCAACTACCTCATAAATACATTACAATGCAGTAATACTAAATTAACATTTTCTATAATGATTGCAGTTGTGCGTTTATAGCAAAGTGCAGCATATTGTGAAATACACAAATATATGATAACAATATGACATCATAATGCCTACATTTAAGGTTACTTGTAATTTTATGCTGTTCTAATTGCATCACGAAGTATACATAAAATGTTTGCATGCTATGTTCAGCATATCTGTCTATCTGGGCTATATATATGCGGAATTCATAGTCTGATCTTATATTTAAGATTGTCTTGAGCTCTCATTCCACTAATCAATAGCTGCATTTAAATAATAAAATAATTCGTTATCTATTTAAGATGTAAGTAGTTATTTGATTGGTTGAATGAGTTCTTAAGATGATCTTAAGCCGGATCTACATTAGTCGTATGGTAACGTCGCAAGTCGTAAGTCGTAGGCAAATTGATCAATCATGATTGATTATTTTTGAAATAATCGACTATGGTTGGTCAATTTGCCTACGACTTATGACTTGCGACGTCACGATACGACCAATGTAGATCCGGCTTTAAATGTAAGACTGGACTATGAATACCGGCCATAAATACACTACATTGTAATATTACATATTTCATTGTAATCTAAAGGATATTTTAACATTGCAACTTCATAACAAAAATATAGTCTTATAACAATATTGTAATTTTTCATTAAAATCATTTTACAATGTGTCTGCAATTTTTCTGTGCTGTATGGGTTTTCACAAAATCTATTAAATACATGCAATTTTATTAAATAGAATTTTTAATAAATTTTTAATGAAATCTTTAATGAAATTATAAAAAAGATGAATTAATCAAGATTGCAGTATATAATTCAATATTAATTTAGTATAATTTTAGTATGATTTCTATGAAATATTTCTATTAAGAAGTATAGTTCATAAGTAATCTATTAAAAACTATAAATTTTAATATGTATACATATTTGCGAAAATATCAATTTTATAATTATATGAATATAAATGCATTAATTTTATAAGGTTACTTATTTATCAACATTGTCATTGTATAACTTATTTCTATTTATATAGGCATATCTATATGCCTATACAAATGCCTAATGCAATATGCGTAATGCCTATACATACTATCTATAAACAGATATGACACATTATTCAAATTTATTTTTTCAATTTAATGAGAATTATAAAACAAAAGTAAACTCAAAAGACTATAATAAGAACATAAGATGCACATAAATATTCATATTTTTTTCATATAAAAAAAATATTCAAAACAAAAAATATTTAAAAATCGTCGTTTTACATAATCATTAATCATATGATTATCAGTTTGAATTATTTTTTTCAGCTTTATTCTAATTTTACATACATATAATTATTTTACTAAAAATATATTCTGACTTAACATTAAGTCCCCCTTTATCACTTATATACTATAAAAATATATTCTGATTTAACATTAAGTCCTTATCACTTATAATATCACTTATAATAAAATATCTCCTTTTTAAATGTACTTGAGATGAAATTTTGTTTTTTACAAGTATACACATTCTATTTTTAGTTAACCAAAATAAGCTCCACAATTCGAGCAGCGTCTCGTCTTTAGTAGCATACAACAAATAATTCCAATGGGAAAAAAGAGAATCGCACATAGTAGACCAAGACATGTATAATCATCTTCCATCACACCTACCTATTATGTGAGTTGAATATCAATTTTTTTGACTTTGTAATATGTGTAGACAAATACATAACATTTAAATAATAAAAAAACAATGCATACTCTGCACGCAGGACAACCACCAACTAAAATAATTTCTGGAACAATGATTGCTGTAGAACCATATGATGGGACAGATCTTCCTTGATAACCAGTATCAGTATTACTAGGATAGTATCCAGGAGGTGGTTGGCATGATATATTCACTACTGATAAAAATTTATAGTAAACTATATATGAAATAAACAATGCTTTGCAAGTAATTTGATGTCACTTTCCTGTGTTCTATTCATATTATATAAATATTACTTTTTTTCAAAAACAGTTGAATATATATTTATATATATTTATATATATATATATAACATAAATTTTTTTTTATTTATATATAGTCAGCTACAAACATTTATTCTTACAATTAGTTGTATATGTATAATGCATAGTATTTTTAATTATTACTTCGAAAAATACTTCAAAAAAATAAATATCAATAAGATTAATTTAATTTAGATTAAATTGAATTATTTGTATATTATTACGAAAAACTGTATTTTTTCAAAACGTAAGAAAGAAAAAATATTTGTGTCAAATCAATCTAACCTAAAAATTAGACACACCTGTCGGAGGTGCTGAAGCCGTTACGGTGGAATACGGTGGCGGCTTTTCGATTGAATTTAATGGTTGATTTTCCATAATTAATTCTTCAATTCTTTAATAAAAGTATTATTTTACGAGAGAGAAGTAAATATGAACTTCATAACCTTCTCCAATTATTTGAGGAATCACAGTGGGTCTGTTCTTTTTAGATGCACTGTTGCAATAAGTTAGAAAGAGACAAACTTACTTTCACTTCTACTTTCTTTCACTTTAAAGCCGGATCTACATTGATCGTATCGTAACTTGCAAGTCGTAAGTGGTTCAACCACTTGAAGTTCAATCGGTTGAAATCCTAGTTACTTCTGCTTACGGTCAACTTTATCATCATTTCTATCGTCTTCTAGGGCGTAAAGGCCGCAGCACACACTCTTGCATAAGCACATAACCATAAGCATAAGGAAATTGATTGGTCCCCAAGTATATGCATAAGAAAATGAACCAATCAATTTTCTTATGCTTATGGTTATGCGCTTATGCAAAAGTGTGTGCTGCGGCCTTTACGCATACTATAAATAAATGCGCGCATATGCGTGAAACGGAACGCAGCCTAGGATACATAAAGCTAATGCGGCGTCTACAATAAGATTTTTTATTTTAAGGAGACTTAAGGCGTAAGATTTAAGAAATTGACCAATCACAGTCGAGTATTCTCTTAATACTTGACTGTGATTGGTCAATTTCTTAAGGCCGGGTCTACAATAGGTAATTTAAGCCTTAAGAGATTGACCAATCACAGTCAAGTATGAAGAGAATACTCGACTGATTGGTCAATTTCTTAAGGCTTAGAGCTTAAATTACCTATTGTAGACCCGGCCTAAGTCTTAGGGCCTATCCAGACAAACTTGCATAAGACATAAGCATATGCATAATCATAGGCTGATGGCAGAGAACTAGATGTCTGTCGTAGTCGTGGACGTAAAGTAAGACAGAGAAAAACGTAAGTCGTACAAGGCCATTGTGACAATGGCCTTGTACGTTTTTCTCTGTCTTACTTTACGTCCACGACTACGACAGACATCTAGTTCTCTGCCATCAGCCATAACCATAATAAAAACTTATCCAGATAATTATAAAATTAATCCAGTAATTTAGGCAACGATTACTGCTACGGCAAAGGTGTAATATGCAAATCAATATTTAAGAAAATAAACTTAAACTTTAGTCATTAAAAATCAGTTATCCAGATAAACTTGCATAAGCATAATGTATAGAGAAATCGACCAATCATAAAGCTGCGTTCCGAAATTCATCAATATTGGCAATGAATTTCGGAACACAATAGCCGGTGTTATTATACTATAGTTTATTATCAAAGAATAAAATATTTGCCTCGTTTCTTTTTTGTGTATATTTTTAAAATCGGCTACACTTTTGTCATACAAATGAGGAAAATTTTTGACAAGATCTATTAAAATTGTATCAGTATCGGCTTCATTATATTCATATTCATATTCTTGAGTGAGATCATTTACTTTTTCTGATTCCATCTTCTGACTCCAGTATTTATAGTGTTTTTTCTTCTGGAATATTGTTGAACCCTGTAAATATATTTTACAATTATTTTTGTATTGATCGCATACTTTTTCTGAGACATTTAAATTGGCATTTCTAACTGTATACTTTTTATTATTATGTTCTCCTAATAAATCGATTATAGAAAAGTATAAATATATAATTAATAATAATGTACGTATAATGTATGTAGTAAAATGTAAAAATATGTAATCAACAATGTGTTTACAATTCATGAATTTAATATGACAATCACTATATTTATTTATAATTGTATGCATAGAAAGATTGTATAATATATTAAAAAATTGTAAGAATATATAAAATTTATAAAAATTTATAACAAATTCTAATATTGTAAATATAATGTAATATTGTAAATTGTGACAAAATTAAATATATATTAGCTATAAAAATGTATATCATATCTTATCATTATACAGAAATATTTTTTAATTATTTATTCGTTTTTTATTTTTAGCTATCTTACCTGCACAATGGAATAACTTGGTGAGCGAAAACTGAGTACCCGGTTGTCAGAGAATATCAGACTGGTTTAATCATAGATTATAATAAGTATATAGATTATAATAAGTATATAAATTATCGGATGATATTCTAGACCAATGTCACAGTAATGTCCTATAAAATGGTATTAGCTCTTGCATACACATATGCATAAAATTTCAACGATATGAAATCTAGTGACTTTACTTTTGCTTGTGCATATGTTACATTTATGTTGATTTATGTTTCATCACGATTTTTCTATAAAAAACGTGATTGGCTTAGCTCACTATGCATACGCCATGCAAGCTTTCTGGATACACAAAATTTTTCGACATTATGGCTGGTATTCATAGTTCGATCTTAAGACGATCTCAAATATAAGATCGGACTATGAATACCGGCCACAATATTTATTTTATTAATTTTTTATTTTTATATATTTATTTTTATATCCAATAATTTATATTTTTATTACATAACGTGAAACATTTATTCAATAAATAACAATAAGAATAATTATATATATATATATATATATATATATATATATATATAATATTTATATACAATATAAAAAACGTAAGACATGTCTTTACGTTACGATTTTTTCTGTGCGTTGACTGAAGTTTAAATTTACGTACGGAATTAAATTTACCATTGATATTTAATGTAATGTAATGCGTTACGGAAGACCTTGTGTGGAGGCCCTTAAGAGAATATTCGATTGTGATTGATCAATTTCTTAAGTCTTATGTCTTAAGTCTCCTTAAAATCTCATCTGGTCTATGTTTGAATTCACCAATCATGTTCGATTGCTACTTAGGCCCAGTTTCACAATCCAGTTAATCCGAGTTTAAGTAGCAAATGGACCAATCAGGACCCAGTTTAACTCGTATTAAACTCGGATTAACTCGAGTTGTGGAACCGGGCCTTAGCCCCTCAATGAGCGGTTGTGCTTCTGGATGCACTGGGCTGCATTCAGAAATCCTATTCGTAAAGTCGAGTGATATTTAACCTACCAATCGGCATCGAGAAATGTTTGCTCCTTTTGTCGTGATTGATCGATTTTGATGTTACTTTACGATACGGGTAGGATTTCTGAACGCGCCTCTATGTTTCAATCGTGTGGGATCCAATTGACCACGTCGTCAATTGGCCAATTCAAAATAGGACTCTCTGATTGGTTAGTCGTTGCTGGTTACCCTAGGCACACGTCGATATAATTGGCTGTTCAATCGCAACGTGGTCAAACGGGACGCTTCCGTTTCCAATCTAGTATCTAATATCATTATATGTAAAGTCTCTTCCATTCCGAAGAGTGAATCAAAGCGTTCGCCATCTTCTTGTTGCTGGTCCTCGGAGGCTTGGAATTTTGTGGTCTTTGGATAAAATAATTGACTTGGCAAAATTCGTCAGTTAAAAATCTTGCCTGCTCAATCGTAAGAAGCAAATTCGTGAAGATGAGTTATGGTAGACCTCCGCCTCGTATCGATGGGATGGTCTCTCTGAAAGTCGACAATCTTACATATAGGACAACGCCGGAGGATCTTAGACGCGTGTTCGAGCGTTGTGGTGAAGTCGGCGATATTTACATCCCTCGCGATCGCTTCACGCGCGAAAGTCGAGGCTTCGCGTTTGTCAGGTGAGCGATCAGATGTGACAGCGATTGATGCGCCGTGAGTATGTGGCATATTGTCGATTTAACGGGATATGTATGTATTCAACATTGCCAAGATTCCAAATGCACGGACGCGGTTGATAATGGTGCTGACGTCATGGCAAGAGTTCCATTATATACGGTGTGACTTTTAGAGCCTAATCATTCCGATAGTTTTTATTTGTTGACTATAGGTTTTTATTTGTTGACTAGAAATAATTTTATAATTTTTCACGAAAATTATAATATTTTATTATTATACTGTAGATTTTTTAGATTATTTTTATATATTTTCTACAACACTTAAAAAGCTACAAAATGAGATCATATTTGTAGTTTTTTAAAAATTATATAGAAGTTGTGATTTTCTACAATTACATTACATAATTATTACTTATTATTTTTACAATTTATTACATTGTTCATAAAAATGTTTGTAAAAATTTATAAATATTTTTTACAACTCACTAAAACTTTCTACAACTTATCACAAATTTCTACAATTTTTAAAAATTTGTAGAAAATTGTGATTGTAAAAAATTTTAATTTCTTATAAAAATTATAAAATTATTTATATATTATTAATTATTTATACATAATTATTTATACATTATAGTACATTATACAATTTATACATTAATTATACATTAGAGGAAAAAATTCTGAAAATGTTCAAAAAGCATAAATCAAATGCTTTAAATATATTTTTTGATAGATTCTATGATAAGCGTGATGCAGAAGATGCATTAGATGCCATGGATGGAAGGCTGTTGGATGGCAGGGAACTCCGAGTTCAAATGGCACGATATGGACGCCCAACATCTCCTCATCGAAGCCGCGGAAGTCGTCGTCGTGGACGGTAAGTTATTATCATTTTAGATACAATACATACTGCAACTATCACATTTTATAAGAAAAACTCTTTCTGAATGAAATTTCAAATTTAGCAAATTTTCAGAATAAAATTGTATATAACATAGATATCAGTTTTGAAATAAATTAATATTTTTATTTCAGACATAAGTTAATTTTAATATTGAATTGCTAAATCTTGTCTTATTGAATAATCAGTTTCAAAATACAATAATATGGTTTTCAATTTTTAATTAAATTTTTACTCCTTTTACTTTCTTAAATAAAAAACAATATTATATATTAATAATAAATGATAAGAAAAATAATAATCTCTATGATGAAAAATAGATAAAAGATTAATAAATTAATAGACAGATTAATAAAACAAACAATATATAACAATACATAATTTTTGAAAGCTTGAATATTACAATAATGTATAAGATTAAAAAAAATATGTTTTATAATAATGTTTTCATTACTTTGTCATGTTATTAATATTCCCAGTAAACATTGTTATATTAATGTTATATAAAAATAATAAAATAAAATGTTAGAAGTAGGTATTACTGATAAGATATTAATTGTAGTTTCATGCAAATTTTAATATATGTTATATTTTAATTATATTTTATATAGATTTGATTCATATAGAATATGGAGATAATTAAATGAAACAAATTTTATATATTTAATCACTGATATCTCTATATGTAATTGAATAGAACACCGGAAGTTATTACATTTAGCGAAATTTTTTTTCGTTTCGAAATATAATTTTTTCGTTTATTGTTTTTTTTTTCACTTAATAGATCAATCAGGGAAAAAAAATAAAAATTTTGAAGCGAAAATCGCATGGAATGAAGCACATTTATAATAAACAAAATCTACAACTTCGAATTTCTATTGTCATCAGTTTTATCGTCCTATTCAGCCTATGACTATATTTTAATTATGTATAAAGATTAGTGTATTTAATTTATAAAATTGAGGATTTAATTTACATTAAAATTTAAATTTTTTGCTTTAAATAGATAGTTAATGGATTATTTTTTTTTTCATACATTTATCCATCCAATTTCAAATAATTTGTTGGATATTGGGATTGCATTGGAAATTAAATTGACAAAAAAAAGATATGCTTTAGATTTTATATTATTCATTCTTTGTATGCTTTATATATACATTTATTTATGAAAAATGAAAGATGAAAAATTAAATGTGATTTAGCTAAGTCTAATTTTATCATGTAGCAATAAGCAAAAGAAAATATATACAAGGTGTTTCATTTAACTCTTACACCTCAAATAACTCTGTTATTTTTACATATATAAAAAAATGGTAAAGAAAGAAGTTGTATGAATGAAAGGGGGACATAAGATGGTGACAATTATTTGACTTTGGATAGTCTTTTGAAGGTCAGATGAAGATCACCTTTAAATTCCTAAATGGAAACTTCATTTTTCATTGCATTTTTGTAGCTTACTTCGAAAGCTTTTCAAAACACTATAATAAAATATTTTTTTATTGAGTACTTTTCGAGTTATGAGACTCGAAATAACTTCTTAATTTTACATAAACCGTAAAATATCTAGTAAAATATTTATTTTCCGATTATCTTATCTCGATACTTTTATGCACAAAATAATGTGAGGAATCAATTGATGTAAAAAAGACAGTTATTTAAAAAAAAATGTAATTTGCAATGAACAATTATCAACAGCTGCAAAATTATAAGAAATACGCCAGGAATCTTTGAGCATGTTAGACACTCAACAATGGATAGATGGATGGAAGCGTGTGTTTTAGTTAACGGTGGTCATTTTCAACAATTTCTGTAAATAAAAATGAAGTTGTTTCCTTTCATGGCTTTCCACTTTTTTAAATCAGATATTAATAATTAAATGAGTCGTAACTCTTGTGGGATGTGTTTTTGGACTAACGTTTATCAGAATTTTTTTCATCCTTATAACGAGCCCAATCCAATCCTTGATTTTGACCAACTATTTCAGAATCACCCTGTATATAATATGTTGCAATAATCTTTCTCTTTTATATTACTGTTGTGTAATATTGCAAAATAATATGTATGATGTATTACATAATTACATAATTGATTTGATTACTTAATTACCAACTCTATACATGACAATATTCTGTATGTATCAATTCTATATAACAACAAATTATATATAACAATGTTATATATTGTTACGTATGTTATATTATATGTTATATCTATGAAATTATAATTAATCTATGAATGGGTAATTACAATTCAACCAATCATACTTATGTATATTATTTGTAACATTCTGTTATTACTTTCATATAGATAATTTACTCTATATTATTTGTTATTTTCACATTTCTATCACTGCAACAGTATTTACTGGGATTAATAAAATAGAGAAAGTGATAGAATAAGTACAATTATAAAGGACTTCACTAAAATCTTATAGTGATTTTAATGAAATTGTCTAAAAGTTGGGTGTTTTCGTCTATGACCTCCTGATCAAAAGTTTCAATAAGCACGACCTTTAATGAACCTTAAATGAACAGATTTTTTGTTACAGGCAAAACGGAGAATTAGATGCATGTGCATACGCTGGAGATGTATTCGATATTACATGTGGAAATATGCGTGTATGTTTATACAGGGTGGCCCTGTATAAACATGGGCCGAAAAATACTTCCTTAAGAAGTTATCGCTCAAAAACCTCTGATGAAGAAAGAGCAAAATGTGAAAAGAAAATGAAACTAAATAAATTTCTTGAAAAACGTCTTTATTCATTTTCTACTATTACGTGCTATTACTAAAATATTAGTTTAAAAAAAATTATTTTATTTTCATAAAAGAAAAAGATTTTTATTTTTTATTTTTATTTTTATTTTTATTTTTTTCAAGAAATTTATTTAGTTTAATTTTCTTTTTATTTCATTTTCTTTTCACCTTTTGCTCTTCCTTCATCAGAGAGTTTTTGAGCGATAACTTCTTAAGAAAAACATTTTTCGATCCATGTTTATAGGAAATTTTTTGTTCAGAATTAAATTTCCTATAAGATCTCAAAGTCTGGCTGGAACGTTCGTGGCCACCCTGTATATTCACGCGCGTAAGCATGCATGCATGCAGAGTTTCCCATTTTAATTGTATACCCCGATTAACATCGCAGAAAATGGTCAGATGAAAAAATATTTTAGACAAAAAGTTGTAGAGTTCGGATAGGGACATCTGATGGTGACATTGGCCTTGAATGAAAGTGCCAAGGTCATATGGAGTTTAACTTTGTTTTGTTGTATTTTTTTTGTTAAAGTGTTTTTACGTACTTTTCGAGTTATGAGCAGAGTCCGGATCTAGGTGTCAGTTTTTCCAAGTGCAAGCTGGCAGCTGAGCGTCGCGAAAAACAGTACTGTCTACGCCGCGCCGATCTAGTGATCTAATAAACATATATTTCTATATTTATACATATATACAGGATGAGGAAAAAGTATGGAAACCCTTAAATTTTTCGAAAACTATGCATTTTAGAAACATATGTTTCAGACAAAAATTGTAGGGTTTCAAGTAACGCATTACAGCAATATCAGTATGACCTTGAATAGTGTTGTCAAGATCACGTGAAGGTCACCTTCAATTTCTTAAATGGAACATCCTATTTTTCATTAAATATTCTTATAGCTTATCTCGAGAGCTTTCTAAAACATTATAATAAAGTATATTTTCATTATGTATTTTCCGAGTTATGAAGCTTGAAGTAATTTCTTAATTTTATATAAACCATAAAATATTTATACTAATAAAATATTTATTTTTGATTATTTTACCTTAATACTGTTATATATAAAATAATGTGAGGAAAGAATATTGTAATTTGCAATTTACAATTACATATTTTTTTTTCGAAACAATTATTTGTTTCCTTTACACCAATTGATTCCTCTCATTATTTTGTGCATAAAAGTATTAAGGTAAGATAATCGAAAAATGAATATTTTATTAGATATTTTACGGTTTATGTAAAATTAAGAAATTATTTCAAGCCTTATAACTCGAAAAGTACTCCATGAAAAATAACTTAACTATATATATAGTGTTTTAGAAAGCTCTCGAGATAAGTTACAAGAATATGTAATGAAAAATAGGGAGTTCCAGTTAAAAAATTCAAAGTGATTTTTATGTGATCTCAACAACATTCTTTAAGGTCATACTGATGTTGCTATGTAATACGTTACTTGAAACCCTACAACTTTTATCTGAAACATTTGTTTCTAAAATGCATAGTTTTCGAAAAATTTAAGGATTTCCATACTTTTTCTTCACCCTGTATATGTATATGTATTTGTATTCTATGCAGCAATGCACCTTTGCTACGTTAGATGCGGACTCTGGTTATGAAGCTTGAAATAATTTCTTAATTTTACATAAATCATAAAATATCTCATAAAATATTCATTTTTCGATGATATTTCCATGATATTTTTATACACAAAATAATGAGACAAATCAATTGGTGTAAAGAAAATACACATAGTTGTTAAAAAAAAATATGTAATTGTAAATTAATTGTAAATTATACGTATTTTTTCATAAAAACAACTATGTTTTTAAAACTGTATTTTTTTTACACCAATTAATTCCTCTAATTATTTTATGCATAAGAATATTGAGGTAATATCATCGAAAAATGAATATTTTACGAGATATTTCATGGTTTATGTAAAATGAAGAACTTATTTTGAGCCTCATAATTCGAAAAATACGTAAAAATATTTTATTGTAGTATTTTGGTAAGCTCTCGAGATATAATACAAGAATGTGCAATGAAAAAATAAGGAATTTAAAAAAACAAAATTGAATTCATATGTCTTTAGCACCTTCACTCAAAATCAAATTAAACCACCATCAGATGTCCCCCTCAGAACCTTACAACTTTTGTCTAAAACATTTTTTCAAATCAACCACTTTCTGCGATATTAATCGGTATGTATAATTAAAATGGGACACTCTTTATACACACACACACACACACTCATGTATACATGCGAATATACCAACATATACCTATATTTCCACATGTCGAATACATGCGTACTTTCCAGCGTACATGAATCTAATTGTCCATTTGGAACAATTAAACGTCGTAACCAGTGTTTGCTGTAGATAATTTCAAAATTATCTAGATAAAGATAAAGATAAAAACTCGTAAATTTATCTTAAATGAGATAAAAATGATTTTGCTTTTACTTAATCTAGATGAAAGATTAGATAATTATCTAGATATTTTTGTTTATTTTAGAAGACTATAAATATTTATAAAAAATGTGACGCAGATTATAAATGGGATATTAAAATCATAAACACATATTCTTTCTCTTTTCCTAAAGAATATTTAAATAATAGTAAAAAGGTATATAAATGATATGATAAATATTTATTTATTAATTTATATTTATAATATATTTATAATATAATAATAATATATTTATATTATATTAATAATAATAATATAAAAAATATATTTTAGATATTTTAGATAGATTTTTAGAAGCTTGCCTGGAAAACTTTTTTGCATAATGAAAACGTCATCTTATTGTTAGACAATTTTTAGATAAGATGACATATATTTTTTATCTAAAATAAAGATAAAGATACTTTGTATTTCTTCATTTAGTTAAAGATAAAGATGATCCATTTCTTTATCTAGATGATTATCTAGATAATTTTGTTTACGACAATTAATCGGATCTCTGATCGAACTGAGCAGTGGTACTTAGCGATAGACTTCCTAAATTTCCCTAGACTAATCCGGATCAATGATGTGTCTCTGAAGTAATCGAATCAGATTAACAGTCATCGAAAGAAATTGCGGTCGAGCTGATCGAAAAAATTGTGAAAAACATCATAAGAAATTATAGAAGATACTTTATTATTCTTTTAATTAATATATCTTTATTTATCAAATATATATTAATAAACAAATGTATTTTACTAGAATAAGATGTTTTCTATAAAATAAGAATAAGTTGTTAATTTAATTCGATTACTTCAGAGACACATCATTGATCCGGATTAGTCTAGGGAAATTTAGAAAGCTATCTATCGCTGAGTACCGCTGAATACCTGTTCAGTCTGATCAAAGATCCGATTAATTGTCGTAAATACCCTTTATCTAGATACCAGCAAACACTGATCGTAACAAAAAATTTGTTCGTTTTTGAAAGTCGTATTCATTGATATTTTAGATTAGGAGGTCATAAATTAAAATCCAATTTTTAGACAGTTTCATTGAAACCACTTTTCCATAAGATTTGTGCAGTATTTTTTCCAATGTACAGCTATTTTCTTATAGTAGACAAGTATACAAGTATACAAATTTTAATATTTGAACATGTTTCTAGATCACGCAGTAGAAGTAGGGATCGTAGGCGTTCTCGATCTCGATCCCGCAGTAGATCGCGTAGCCGTGATAGAGATCGTAGGCGCTCTTATACCCGCAGTCGTAGTCGCTCTCGTTCTGATAGCAAAAGCTCGCGCGGAAAGTCACGCTCACGCAGCAAGTCCCAGGACAGGCAAAAGGATAGCCGTTCCAAATCTAGGTAAGAATTATTCAATTAATATTGTCGTTAAAATGAAAAAATGATTCAAACAACTATAAGCTATTAGATCACTTATTATAATCGATCAATAATTTTTTATTTTTAGGGACTGAGCTTGTCAAAGAATATGCAAGAGGATGACATTGAGTGTGTGCGCATCCAACGAGTGCCGAATAATCTATGTTGAGATTGCAAAAGGTATTCCATCATCTACTATAGCAACACTCGCACGCTTCTTCATGTTCTTCTATCATTTAAATACATACATGTTATATACATATACATATATATATATATATATATACATATATATACATATATATATATATATATATATATATATATTTCAATTAATAATTACATATATCCTTGATTTGTGGAGACGCGAGTTAGTTTCTGCTCTGTAATACGTGTATTTTTTTCTCACATGCTTTCCTTTTATTCGCGTTTTATGATGTTTTTGTTATGCAACTATCGCCGGTCATGTTTCATGATTAATCAATTGATAATTAATTCTGCTCATTCACGCGATGATTTAAATTTGAATCGTACTTCGTAATTCAATAAATTTTTATTAATAAATTTTATAATGTTAGATTTATGCATCATTTGTTGTGAAATCCACAAAGCTACATGCAGCATTTACGATATTTTTTATCGATGGAGATTAATATTGCAAAATAGAAATAAAGCCTTATGATTTATTCTTCTACTTTCTAAATATTCTGTCATATAATATTATGCAAGTACACACTTTTAAACAATGTTGACAAACATTGCAAATATATATAAACAATTTTTTGTCTATTTCACATTTAGAACTTTATTAATTTTCTAAAATCACAAATAAAGTTTCTTAGTTTTGCTCGAAAATTCTTCTACATACTGTAACAATACCATTTCGTAAAAAGAACTTTTTCTGAATGGGATTTAAAATTTAGAAAATAGTGAGAATAAAATTGTTTAAAATATACATAGATATCAGTATTGAATAATCAGTTAGTTTCAAAATACAACAATGTATAGTTTTTTAATTTAAATTGAAATTTTTGTCTCTTATCTTCTTATTCATAAAAAAACAATATTAATAATAAATAAGAAAATAATCTCTATAATCTAAAAGAGAGATTAATAATGAAATAACACATAACATAATTTTTTGAAAGCCTGACTATTGCAATAATTTATAAAAATTAGAAAAAAATATTCCTAAATCTGTATTTAATAAAAATATTCTTTATATATAAATTATAAGAATAAAAATATTCTTATAATATTCTCATTACTTAAGAATGTTTTTGTCAACAATGTCTTTGGGTGTGCACACTAAAGTCAAGGAAAATTTTTTAATACTTGGAGAATCATTTCAAATTTTTAGGTTTGTTTTCACGCACGACAATATATTTCTAGAAATAAGTTTTGTGTTGATAGGCAATCGTTCATGTAAATCTGCATATCGTAGATTCATTTGTAATAAAGCGCAATGGATTGCAGAAAACGGAACTGTCTACGTATTCCTTGTTTTTCCTTTATGAATTTTAATATATAATATTCTCTTGCTCTAGGTAATTATTCATAAAAAAACTTCTGTATATAAAATATATAAATGCTAAATCAATGTGTATCACAAGATAGTTCTTACTAAAATATAAATTTTTTCCAATTATTTTTAAATTATAATTGTTATTCATTCAGTTGTATTACGGAGAAAAATGATCAGAAAAATTCTCTTACTTTGGACTTCTGCCAATTACTAAATATATTTAACTAAAATAATAAATAATACAATTTCTTTTTTTTATACAAAGTATATACAAAATATATAAAAAGTATATACGAGATATATGTATACATACATATTCGTTTTTTATACAAGGTATTTTTTAGCTGGTATATGAATAAAACAAAATTTTTCTTTTTATTTAGTACAAATTGTAATAAATTTACATATATAATTTTACTTACTGTACAAACAATATGTAGGCAAAAAATAATTTCTTAAAAGCCTTAAAGATAAAAAATCTAATAATTTTTGCTCAATATATAAACACACATATGTATGTATGTGTGCGAGCGTATGTGTGCGTGCGTATATACAAAATACAATATAGAAATGAAATATATACATGCATTATATATATATGTGTGTATGTGTGTGTACACACATACACATACATACATACATATATACAATACATATACAGAGTGAGGGGGATTTAAAGTATTACAAGTTATTATTTCTGAAAGTACACGTTATAATAAAAAATGTATCAGATAAAAATTATTTGACTCGAAGGGGAGACTAAGAAGGTGCCATTAGTTTAACCTTGTATAGTCATTTGAAAGTCACATGAAGGTCACCTTAGTTTTTTAAATGAAACTCCTATTTTTTATTGCACATTCTTATAGCTTATCTCGAAAGCTTTCCAAAACACTACAATAAAGTATTTTTTTGAGTACTTTTGAATTATGAGACTTGAAATATTTTTTTTATTTTATATAAATTATAAAATATCTCGAATTCATTTTTTGATTATCTTATCTCAATATTTTTATGCACAAAATAATGAGAAGAGTCAATTGGTGCAAAAAAAAACACAATTGTTTTTAAGAAAAAATATGTAATTTTGTAAGTTACATATTTTTTTTCTTAAAGCAACTGTGCATTTTTTACGTCAATTGATTCCTTTCATTATTTTGTGCATAAAATGAAAGTAAGATAATAAAAAAATGAATATTTTATGACATTTTCTAATTTATGTAAAATGTAGAAATTATTTCGTAACTCGAAAAGTACTCTATGAAAAAATACTTAATTATAGTGTTTTGGGAAGCTTTCGAGATTAGCTACAAAAATAAGGGTTTCATTTAAAGAATTAAAGATGACCTTCATATGACTATCCAGGATCAAACCAATAGCACCTTCTTATATCCCTCTTCAAGTCAAATAACTTTTGTCTCAAACATTTTTGTTCTAATGTATACTTTCAGAAATAATAGCTTGTAACACTTTAAATGCCTCACTCTGTATACATCGATATATATTATACATTATTGCATATTATGTTAAAATTATCTATATTTATTTACCGATTTGCTAGCGATTGGCTAGTTCTTGAAATTTTTTTAGAAATCTAAGAAACAAGAAGCTTATAGATCCTTGGATTTAAGGGTGGTTACGAGGTATTAAATTAGTATTTCGCGAAAAATTTAATTGCATGTATAATTGTTATAATCAAAATGTATATGTACAATTATTTTATAATTTTGTAAAATAGCGTAAAACAAATATATCGCGCAAACTTGTATGTATATACGTGATTTAATTTTATTTAATCTATATTTTTTTCAAAAAATGTATGAATTATATAATGCATATAATATGAAAATTCATCATACATTTTTTGAAAAAATTATAGATTAAATAAAATAAAATCACGTATATACATATGTATATACAAGTTTGCGCAAGATATTTATGTTTCAGAAAATTAATATTTTGTATTCAATGCTGTTATTCCGTACTACGATCCTGATACATAAAATCTTGATAGCAAAGTTAATCTAATGGTTACACTATAATCAAATTTACATGTATTTCAGATATATTAATTCGATATTTTTGTAATATATTCCTCATATTCCTCATATTCCCATCTGTTTTCCCTGTGTGTTTCCTTATCCTATAAAAAAGAAACTACCACTACTTTCATACACGGATGCGACGCATATATTTCATGATAACTAAGTTGTTATTTTATGGTGCCACAGGCGGTGGAAAGGAGTGGCGTGGCGCGGGTGTAGCCGATGATGGGGTAGCTGAGAGTAAGCAGTAAGCCGAGTAGCAGGGGGCTGTAAGCAGTTTGCAGTAGCGAGAAAGAGAGAGCGGTGTTGGTGCGGTGCGGTGCGGTGCGGTGCGTTGCGGTGTGAAGCGATCCGAAGCGGTCTGTTCCGGTCCGGTGCGCTCCGATAATCGAGTGGTTCGTTCAAAGCGGGTTTGCGAAAAATCAGGCCAAAAATGAAGGGAATACACACGCACACGCACGCACATACATGCATACATATATACATACATACATACATACATACATACATACATACATACATACATACATACATACATACATACATACATACATACATACATACATACATACATACATACAAAAAAAAAAAATACATACATACAAATACATACATACATACATACAAAAAAAAAAATACATACATACATACATACATACATACATACATACATACATACATACATACATACATACATACATACATACATACATACATACATACATACATACATACATATATACATACATAGAAACATACATACATACATACATACATACATACATACATACATACATACATACATACATACATACATACATACATACATACATACATACATACATGCATACATATATACATACATAGAAACATACATACATATACATACATAGAAACATACATACATATATACATACGTACATGCATGCATACACACATATACGTACATATGCGCGCACACAAAATATATACACATCCATGCATACATACATACATGGCGCGCGCGCGCGCGCACGCACACACACACACACACACACACACACACACACACACGTATGTATGTGTGTATATAGAAGAAAAGTAGGCAAAGGGGATAGATATGCTAAATGATCCATTCAGACAATCCATTATTGCGAATCTGCTGCTGATTTCTAGGAACATCCAGGACACCATATTGGATTCTAACATGACGTCAAATAAACCATTACCAGATTCAAGAAAAGAATTGATTGATTCATAGTACATCGCATTCATTGATTAATCATCGTGAACGGAAACATGTGATCTAATCATATACAGGGTGGCCCACGTAAAGGGTTACAAATTTATATCTCAGAAACGAAGCAATTTGGAGAAAAATGTTTCAGACAAAAGTTGTATGGTTTCGAGGGGGGCATAAGATGGTGCCATTAGTTTGACCTTGAAGAATCACCTGAAGGTCACGTGAAGGTCACCTCCAACTTTTTAAATGAGACACCCTATATGTTTTTGCATATTCTTGTAGCTCATCTCGAGAGCTTTTCAAAACACTTAAGTTAGTTTTCATTAAGTACTTTCAAAAACGCTATAATTCAGTTAGTTTTCATTAAGTACTTTCCGAATTATGAGGCTTGAAATTTCTTAATTTTACGAAAACTATAAAATATCTACTAAAATCTTCATTTTTCGATTATCTTACATTAATACTTTTATATATAAAATAATGAGAGGAATCAAGAAAAACAATTCTTTTGGTATAAAGAAAAAACATATCTATTTTTAAGAAAAATATGTAATTGTTAATTGTAAATTACATTTTTTTTCGAAACAATTATGTTTTTTCTTTACATCAATTGATTCCTCATTATTTTGTACATAAAAGTATTAAGATAAGATAATCAAAAAATGAATATTTTATTAGATATTTTATGGTTTATGTAAAATTAAGAAATGATTTCAAGCCTCATAATTCGGAAAGTACTTAATGAAAACTAACTGAATTATAGCGTTTTTGAAAGCTCTCGAGAAGAATATGCAAAAGCATATAGGGTAACTCATTTAAAAAGTTGGAAGTGACCTTCACATGACCTTCAGGTGACTCTTCAAAGGTCAAACTAACGGCATCATCTTATGTCCTCCTCGAAACCATACAACTTTTGTCTGAAACATTTTTCTCTAAATTGCTTCGTTTTCGAAATATAAATTTGTAACCTTTTACGTGGGCCATTCTGCATAAATTATGAAAGAACAATACAAATACATTTCAGCATTTATATGACAATTCAGGAAGTAGTAGTAATAGAGAAAGAATTTACTAAATAATCTGATGCTGATATAATTTACTCAATTTGATCTCTAATATAATTTATTAGACAAGAAATTTCAATTTTCACGAGATCAGATAAACTTGCAGGGTACTATTACATATTTCTTTTGCAGAATATGTAACTTGTTATAAAAGATATAATTTTTAACATATAATTTTTTATATGTACACATATAGTTCAAGAAAAAAAAGAAACAAAAAAGGGAGTAATCAATTTGAAGTGTTTTTGTGTACGATTTTCAAGATCACGTGCAATTTTGAAAAATTTGTGATTAAAACAGGGAAAAGCTATTTTTATGCATTTTATTGTATTATAGTTATGGTACATTATAACATATTAAAGAAATTTTTGATAAAACTAAATGTATTATTAAGAAACTTTTAATCTTTGACAACAATTTGTTATATCAGCTATGGTTTTAATTTAAGTTTTTAATGGTTTTAAGTTTAATTTTTTTTAACAGAGCTTTAAAAAAAAGTAAAAAAAAAAAGCGACAAACGCGCTTATTTAAAAAGTTATACAAAGGATATAATTGCTTCAATATATATTGTTTACATTTTATTTTAAATATAACAATAATATTAAATCATAATCGTAAATAATGGAAGTTTTTGTGCGCAAAAATTAATATTCCTTAATTTAATATATATATATATATATATATATATATATATATATATATATATAATACATACAGGGTGTTTCATAAGTGGTAGGCAAAATTTCAGGAATGGATTCCTTATGCTTAGAGAAGAAAAAAAAAGTTAATTAACATAGGTCCGGAAATGATTAGTTTTTGAGTTATTAAGATTTTTGTAATACAAAATTTTGTTTCATTTCTCGTCTTAGAAGTCCTGTTACAGGCATCAACAATGTTTTTCAAATTTGGCGGCCTGAAAAACATTGTTGATGCTTATAAAAGAACTTCTAACAAGGAGAGCTTCAACCCTTGGGGTCACCGATTTCATCGAACTTTGGTAGGTATGCAGTATTCATATAGTAGTAACATATACTATTTGGAGACGATGCGCCTCTCAAGCATTAACGAGAAATCGCGGTGTGAATTTTAGCACGCTCCTTTAGTATCGATGCATTAGAGCCTCTTTTCGAGTCACGGCTTAGCGAACTAGATGTTAGACTATAAGTAAAAAGGTTGCTGGTTCGCTTCCCGTCAGTTTTATATATTTTTTTCTTTTTTTCATTTCCTATGTATGTATTATAAATTATGTTACAATATATTTATTATTATTATTATTGCTTTTTATTACAGAAACAACTTTTATCATTTAAATACTGTGCATAAAATATGTTTTCAATAAAACTGGCGATTTTCAATATAATAATTTAAGGCGAGACATATATCGAGATATTTATAGAAATTTAAAGAAGATAAGTTATATATATGTATATATATATATATATATATATATATATATATATATATATATATATACAGGGTGTCCTAGACCACCCGTACACCCCTTTTCTTTCAAAAACTAAGCATTTTAGAGAAAAACGTTTTCGACAAAAATGGTATGGTTTTGAGGGGAACATAAGATGGTGTCATTGGTTTGACCTTGGATGGCATCGTTAAGGTCAGGTCAAGGACACCTTTAATTTCTTAAATGGAACCACTTATTTTTTATTGCATATTCTTATAGCTTACGTCGAGAACTTTCCAAAACACTATAATGAAGTATTTTTTTTATCAAATACTTTCCGAATTATGAGGCTTAAAATCATTTCTTAATTTTACATCAACCATAAAATATCTTGTAAAATAATCATTTTTCGATTATCTTATCTTAATATTTTTATGTATAAAATATTAAGTGTAGATTATCTCGAGAGCTTTCCAAAACACTATAATAAAGTATTTCTTCATTGAGTACTTTTCGAGTTATGAGGCTTGAAATCATTTCTTAATTTTGCATATGCCATAAAATATCTAGTAAAATATTCATTTTTCTTCAATATTCATTTCTTAATTTTGCATATGCCATAAAATATCTAGTAAAATATTCATTTTTCGATTATCTTACCTTAATACTTTTATGTACAAAATAATGAGAGGAATCAATTGGTGTAAAGAAAACACATAGTTGTTTTAAAAAAAAATATGTATTCGGAAAGTACTTAATGAAAACTAACTTAATTATAGTATTTTGGAAAACTCTCGACGTGAGCTACCAGAATATTTAATAAAAAATAGGGAGTTCCATTTAAGAAATTGACGGTGTTCTTCACGTGACTTTCAAATAACTCTCCCATGTCATCATTGCCACTATCTGATGGCCCCCTTCAAGCCATACAACTTTTGTCTGAAACATTTCTTTCTAAAGTGCATAGTTTATGAAATATTCGACCGGTCCGGGACTTTTGGGACACTCCGTATATATATGTTTATTGATTTACTGATTTGATATAAGCGTACAAAAAGCTAATTATAAAAAAATGTTATAAAAAATAATTATAAAATGACTGCGTTTATTCGTCGTCTTGCTCTGTAATTTTACAAATTTCAAATATCAAAACGTCACGGGCAAACAAAGAGGAATGGTTTGAAAGCTGGTTCCTTAAAAAATATAATACGTGAAATTCTAGGAAGAACTTGTAGCTTCATTCCAATGGCAATGCATAGAGAATAATATCGAATAAATTCGAATGCATAGAGAATAATATTATAATTGAATATGAATCGTTTCCCATGAGAACCGTCTTAAATTATATTGAAAATCGCCAGTTTTATTGAAAAAATATTTTATGCACAGTATTTAAATTATAAAAAAAATTGTTTTTGTAATAAAAAGCAATAATAATAATGAAAAATATATTGTAACATAATTTATAATAATATAGGAAATAAAAAAAGAAAAAAATTACAAAACTGACGGGATACGAACCAGTAACCTTCCTACTTATAGTCTAACGTCTAGTTCGCTACGCCACGCCGTGACTTGAAAAAAAGGCTCTAGTGTATCGTTACTAAAGGAGCGTGTTAAAATTAACATCGCGATTTCTCGTTAAGGCACATCGTGTCCGAAAGTAATATATGTTACTACTATATGAATACTACATACCTGCCAAAGTTCGACGAAACCCAAGGGTTGAAGCTCTCCTTGTAAGACGAGAAATGAGACAAAATTTTGTATTACAAAAATCTTACTAACTCAAAAACTAATCATTTCGTACCTATGTAGATTAAATTTTTT